CTGAGCACCTCAACTGGAATTCTGCTTGCGTATAACAGAAAAGGTTGTTATTTAAGATGACAATGTGCACACTTGAGCTGAGACACTACAACACAACTAAGTGCATCCAAAGTGGTTCAATGTCTTTATTTTGATATTCGTAAGAGGCACATAAACATAGTTAACTGTTACTTATGATCTAATCTGTTTAATTTGCCATTGCTTTTCTTGAAAGGTAACCCTCTTTTCCTACGGGAATGCTTTTTGCATGCTTAACATGCAAATGTTGCACTTCAGTGCTGATACTTTAGCTTTTTCTGTAGTTTGAAAACAGAAGTTACTGACATACTGCTGTTAATATCACCTTGCCATTGCTTGATAGCTACTGCATTAGCATTTTCAGTAGAGATTTCTTCTGGATGAGGCAGATGGAATTACCTTCTATCTGTTTATGCAATGGACTCTTCAAATGGGAGCATTACAACAGATCACCATGTGCTTCTCATGTGGACCCTGCTTTGGGGAAATCAGAGCTATCTCCCTACTGACAAGAGCTATTGCAGTCTCCTGGAACAGTAAAGAGTTCAATTTGTACCATTAACACAAAGTTATGAATTCTAAATTACAAACTGCTTTGTTTGCCAGGTTTTCAGACACATTGGACATTACACTGTATTAAAAACCCCAAACCTTTCATTAAGTAGATGCTATGAAAAGAACATACAACTAGTTACTCCTGTAGCTTTTAAAAAAATCACATTTTTCCATACTTTGCAGAGTTTGAGGCATGAAAACACAAGACTAGTAAATCCAAAACCCAAGCCATTCTTCTTACAACTCTCAGCCCAGAGTAGCCAGTACTGTGCTTTTCAGAACATACCGTTCTCACTATAGAATTAAAACCCTAACTTGAACAACATTTTAAATTATTTTTAATAAAACCAGTCAATACACCTTAGTTATGATTTGCAGTCAACTCAGCCAAAGTTACCTTCTCTATTTCTCAGTGCAGACTGCACTACCTAATTCTGCTCAGGTCTTAGCAAAAGGGTTGCCTGTAGGAAACAGGCTGGCTTTCACCCACCAACTCCTACTACGTGTGTCAAAACAGTGTCTTCTGACCATCGTCTAGCCAGTCTGCATTACAGCCAATCACCTACAAAAACATTTGGGATGGGTAATAAGATACAAGTCAGCCATAAGTGAAAATGAACCACTAAAGAAGAGTTCCACTCTTTCTGAGCTTCTGAGGGATGTGGTAAGAAGACACAATCAGTTGAATTCACTAACAGCATAATACAGCCATTATTTACAAAAAGGAATGTTAAAAGCAAAACATATTTTGATAACAAGAAAGAACAAATGAAATGGTTTTAAACTAATGAAAAGTTATTTTACAATATCCCTTATGTATTTCTAGGTGTGCCTGAAAACAGAGCTCTGGGCAAGTTATGAGTGAAAAGAAGAAATAATCTAGTAAGAAAGTATTCATTCATGTTTTTCTACTTTAAAGCATTTAAAAGAAGTCTGAACTAGATGTTGCTTTGAGTCTTCTGTAGTTCCTTCAGTTACATGTGTTCACAGATTTTTTGCACTCTGCTGACATTCCCTCAACTTACACCCATTTGGTGGGGAAGGGCTGTTTTCAGCTTTCCAATTAGCTTAATAGCTAATTTATCTGATAGACCACAACTACCCAGCAACAGTGGTCTACATAAACCAGTGTTCACCAGCATACAACAGCAATGCTTCAGAGAGATACAACTGTGCTGGCAGTTTCCATGGGAGGAAAACAATAGACTTGCTCATGAATCTCCTTTCATCTTATCCACAGCAGTCCTCCTTAGTGTTCACAGCCAGGGTGTAAGTAATATAATTTAGGGTTATAGAAGAGGCATAACCAAGTAAATACATATTACCAGTGAATTACAGAGTAAGCTTGAGTCCATCAGACACTAAAAGCTAAACACTGAGCAGTATGGGAGCACTCCAGCAGAGGAGGGTGGGGGAGGCAGCACACAAAAGCAAAACTGAAAAGGAAAGGGTGATGTGATGAAAGAAGCAGCCCCAACTTTACCATCTTCTCCTGTGATTATTAGGAATCTTTTATGATACTACATTAAGCTTGGCTTCCTACTTGATTTACTAACTGAATACATATGTTTAACCTTTGATACACGAACAAGGACAAATAAAAAAAAAAAAACCAAACAGGAAGAAGAATTAGTTAGGGCAACGAAGGCTTTCTCTCCTGTTTCCTTGTTAGCTTCACATCTTAGCAGTTATCTAATCTTTAAGATCAATCTTTGAAAAAACCCTGGTGTCTGTGGGGTTTTAATTCCTCTTTTACTCTCAGTATTTACTCAAAATTTTCTATTGTGTCTCTTCTTTTCTAAAGCTTCCCTTCCTCCATCTGTCTTTCCTTTACCCAGGCACACATCAGTTGCATATTGTGCCCTGTGCCAAAGCCACAGAATGCAACAAGCCATAAGCCCTGCTTTTGCACCCGCTGTATGTGAACATCTGCAGAGACCAGTGTCACCTCATTCATTAGCTGTGTGCTGAAGGCACATCCTTGCTCTTCTTAACAGTACATAGTGCAGGAGCTCTCAAACCAAAATAAAACATAAGGAACACTGGGATAAATTAAACATACCTGCCAAGAGAAACAGAAAACCTTGTACCTTGCTATAAATCCTCTCTATGCTGGTTTGAACTCAACTGCAGTGTAAATGCAAAGCACACAAAGGAAAAAAAAAAACAAAACAAACAAACAAAACAACAACAAAAAAAAAAAACAACAAACCAAGCACCAAAAAAACCCCAAACACAAACCCCCTTTCTTCTCCTTTGATGACATGACCTTTTATCATGAGTATAAACAAAATTCAACAGGTTAAAACCAGACAAAAAAAAAAAATCAAAACCCAAAACCCACAGCAGAAAAAACAGAAAAATAAAATCCTTTGTCACCGAGTATGATTTAGACAGGTAACAACTGTAAGATTCAGTGACAGCAATAAAAATCAGTAAGTACTTTTCTTATTAAACAACCATTTTTTAATAGTCTGTATGTGCAGACATGAAGAATAAAGTTGATTTGTGAGCAAAAAGTGCCAGACGTCTAGAAACCAGATTTACAGATGTGAAAGTTCTCGCATGAACAGGAGCCAACCCTTTCAATAATTTTCACACAAATTAAACCCTAACGAACTCAGAAGGGCTCTCTGCAGCTTCTCTGTGCCTGAGAAGGAGAAATGATTCACCAGCACCCAGCCCTGACCCACTCTGGGATCAAGACACAGAGCTGGGACTTGAGAGGTCAAGGTTCTGCTCCCCATTCAGCCAGGGACCACCTGTGCAACCCTGGGCAAGCCTCTTAATCTCCAAATTTTAATTCTTGTTTAAGGGAAGAAATGCATAGCCCTAATCTGCCTTTTGTCATACCTGCCAGACTGTAATGGGTAGAGAAAACCTTCACATCACACCTGTAAAATGTGAGTCTGTAACATCACACAGCCCCTCTCAGGACCATTGTAACTACCCATGTCCCAGACTTCAAGTATAGAAGATTGTCTAAAAATTGGTTCCAAGTGTTTTAAGCATGACTTTCCCAGAAAACCAGTACTATTTACTCATACAGATAGACAACTAAACCACAGTAATCTGTTAAATTTGGATATACTGATATATTTGCAACGCTCTCATGTTAACATTTCATGTAACAAGTGTTATTTCACAGCCGTATTTCTACTATTTTAAGTCTAAATAACTTTCTGCCTATGGTTTATGTTCCACTCCACATATGTAAAGCTAACACAAAACGCTGTAAAATACCATGGGCATTCAGAAAAGTTATCAAAAAGCCTAAGTCCTACGGAAAACAAACAAACAAACAAAACCAACCAAACCTGATGACTTACAATGGAAGGATGTCTTTATAAGTTTACCCAGATATAAAGTATATGCAAGCCGTTTATTTCTTGCTAGGAATATCAAAGCACATATTTCACACAAATAGCAAGAAATACAAGGACCTACAGACAGTAGGTAGACCTACATGTAGCTTAAAACAGTTCTTTGTACTTTTGGGTTTGTTTTTCTTTCATTTCATCTTCCTTACTTAAACATACCAAATGCTCAGTAGCGTTCCTTAGTTCTCCTACACTGCTTCCAAGTTTTACAAAGTCTGACAAACCCTGCACATTACCATGCTGCTGTTTACCCTGCCTGGAGAAAACCAACATCTTCCTGAACTGAAGTTTCCTCCTGAAGACAGAAACGGCTAAGTATCATCCTGACCGACCCTGCCTGCAAGTCAGATTTATATAACGCTGAGCCCTCGTCCAGACAGCCTTAACACAGCCTGACAAAACCCTGTAAGCCCTAAATCCTTTCCCTTGCTCGTTTAAGCGGGATGTTTTCAGCGTCATTATGCTTCAATGACACCGGGCTTCTTAATTAGAAGGGGTGTGGGGGGAAGAATAAACACACCCATAAGTGGTCAAGAAGTTATTTGATACACCAGGAAGACGGATTAGCAACAGAAAAATAGAGAGGGGAAACTTCTCCAGGAGAGACTTGTGTGGCAGAGACCCCACAAGTGCTGTCCGGAGGTCCCGTGAGGTCCCTGCCCTTCACCGCCTCCCTGAGGGGCCTGTCCCCAAACGAAGCACCCCGGACCCCTCGCCTGGGCCTCCTCTCCCCCGTCCCCGTCCCTCGCTTCTCCACAGGCGCGACCCCGGGACGGGACCCCGCCGCCATGCAGCGCCTGCGGGCGGGCTCCCGCCGTCCACGCCCGCGGCCCCGGAAAGGCGCCTGAGGCGGGGGGACGACAGCTAAGCCTAGCCCCGGCAGGAGCCCCCGAGCGGGGGGTTTCCTCTCGCCCGCCTGAAGGAAAGCCTGAGGCGGGCGAGGGGAAGCGAAATCCCGCCGGGGCGCAGGGGACGAGGCGAGTGGTGAGGGGTCCTCCCCGCCCGGCTGGCAGCTCCCGGCGCTCGCGACCCTCCCCGTCCACTCACACACACACAGCTCCACCACGTAGGCGTAGTAGGACCAGGCCACGACCAGGGCGATGAAGGCCACGGGCACCCAGGCCAACACCTTCTGGCAACACTTGAGGACGTGGGACGGCGCCATCTTCCCTGCCGGGCCACCGCAGGAGGCATCAGCGCCGGCGCTGCAACGGGCGGCGGCGGCGGCTGCAGCTACAGCCGCCGCTGCGGAGCCGGCCCCGGGCGGGCGGGCGGGCAGGCCCTGGGCGGGCCGCAGTGGGCGGGAGAGGGGCGGCCCCGGCGTCCGCCACCGCCTCCTTCTCCTCCTGCGGGCGCCTCCGCGTCTCGCCGGTCGCCCCTCGCCCTCAGGCGGGAGGGAGGCGAGCGGGTCCCTTTTTCCCAGGAGGGATCGGTCGTGGGGTTTGCACTGGCGGGGCCAGCTCTGGGCGGGATCCTCCTCCGGCCATAAAACCTGCTCTTAAACCTCAACCTTGCGGTGCTGAGCGGGGCGGTTTTGGGCACAACAGCGCCGGGATGGGTTCAGGCAGCCATACCCGGGGCCCTGCCCCCCTCCCGCTCGCCAAGTCCATGCGCTTACAGGGCTCAAACAGCTTGTTGGATGCTGCAAAGAATATCTGTACAAATATCTTGCTTGGGCTGCTTTCTGAACTTCAGTTCATGCCAGACAGCCGCGGGCGGCACCACGACCTCCCTGAGAAGCACCGCTCTGCGGGGCCGATCCTCTCGAGCGTGGTCGTTCTTCACGCGTGAAATTTTTAGCACTACTACCGGTAGGACCCCGAGGTCGGAAGGGCCCCGTGGCATAACAAAACGCCCGTTTCTTCTCCAAAACCAGAGCGGGGGTTTGTGCCGGCGGCGCTTCCCCCGGCCCGGGGCGGCCGCGGCGGCTCCCGCGGGGCTCCGGCGCCACCTGGCGGCGGCGGGCGGGGCCGCCCCGGCTGAGGCGGGACCTGCCCGGGGCGGGGGGGGGAGCTCCGGCGGCGGGGGGGCCGGCAACCGCCGGGAGGTCAAAGCCGTAGGGCGAAGGGTCAGGGTTTAACAGTCCAAAGTGCGGCAGGGGGGAGAGGGGGACCCCCGGAATGAGAAGGTTTAGGAAAAACAGCAAGCGGTGTGTGTGGGGGGTGGTTGGTGCGGGCAGAGCCTGGGCTCTGGGGCCGCGTAGTCCTTTGGAGAGGCTTAAGCGAGCGGCGACGGCGATAGGGTTGCCTTGGAGGAAGGCAGGGGCCAAATTATTATGGGCTTGCCTGCTGATGAGGTGATGGAAAAAATACTGAGACGAGTAATCAAGAAGTGAGAAGACCACAAGCCTCGAAAAACGAATAGGGAGGGGATGCCCAGCAAAAATGCCCGAGCACAGCAGCCTCCATGGGCATGTGTGTGTTCATCTGGGTATCGGAGCTGAGGAAGGATGCGGTGGCCTTTGATCCGGACGTATACGGAAAAACTGTGGGGCAGGGAGATGTGCCCAGGGACCACGGAAAGACGGAGATCACTCTGGGATCGACTCGTAAGTGTATGGGCATGCTAGAACATGGGAGCGGGATCACAGCGGTGAGGAAGGGGGTTGCAAAATTTTACATAGTTCACGTGTTAGTAGTAACTAAACGCTGGTAAAGAAAGAGGTTAGAGGAGAGGGAGAGGAGCTGGTGGAACAGCTTGGTCTGGCCCGTTGCTAACAGAGTGCCGGAAGGTGTGGGAGGAGTGACAGGTTACGTGGATGGCATCTTGGTTATGGGGACTAGTCACTAGAGAAGTACTAACAAGGATAGAGAGGTTTGGATTTAACATGAACTAGGTCAATCTTGGGCTGATGTGCTGGTTAGCACATCAGGGATATTGTTAAAGTGTTCCAGCTCCTCTAATCTTCATTCTGTTAAAGGTGTAAAAACATGCAACGGCTGCCGGCATGTGCTTTCCCTCAGGATCTCACGGGATTTTTAACATTTAGCCTCAGGACAGTGGGAACAGATTAAATGCTTGGTGTCCAAGTAATAAGTATTTCTTGATAGTCCTTTTATAAGTAACTGATTTTACCTTTAAAGGGGTGTAGAATAAGGAAAAAGGGAACAAATAAATCAGGTTTTTGTATTGGAGCACAATATGGGGCAGGTGCAGAAGTTACACGGACTCTGCGTGGTACCTTTGCAACTAAAGTAATACTAGAGGGACACTTTTGTATCAGCCTATATATGCTGCGGGTTAGTTTGGGACAGTGAGCACATCCAAACAAAGCCTGGTATTAATCCTGTGATATATGGAATTAAATAGTAAATGTCAGAAATATGGAATGAAATATGAAATGTTAGAAATTAATTATTCTGGGACACATTCAGAGTGTGCCTCGTCTGTACTGCCTGCCTGGCAAAGCTTGCCTGGCATGCTGGCTGCCTGGCAAACATAATGGAAACAATATAGAAGGTATGGGCACATCTGACATTTCACAATCCTGAATTAATTTGATACTGAAATGCCCTCAACTAAACTCAAGAAGACGGGGGTGGAGGAATGAATTTTGAATCCCATACAAAGTAATCCAGTAAAAGACTTGGGATTCAGTGACGATAACCATCTGGGATAGCCAAAAGTGGCACATGGCAAAAGGGACTGCCAATTTAACAGCAAATACCTCTGAGGTTTTCAGCTGAACAGTATCTCTGGCTATTTATCGTACCAAGCACAACTGCTGGCAACTGAAACAGTGAACCAGGGATTAGATGCTTTTTGTAAGTAGTTAATTCCTTTCTTATGGGCAATACAGCAGAGCCAGGACAGCACCAGAGGAGTGGTGCCAGATTTTTTCTTGGGAACGGGATGGATCTTCAGTGACAGGATAGTGGGTTTGGGATGTATTGAAGGAGGGGCATGAACAGTGGGATATAAACCTTGCATTAGCCTCCTGAAAGTCTTGTCTGTGGGGACCTGATTTACAAGGGGAATGTGTGCATATAGTAAGACCTTAAATCTAACCAGCCGCTGTTGGCAGTGAACAGTTTCACGGCATGTATGATCTGCACCACCTGCTGAACCCTGTGGAGCGCTGTGGGTATCACCACACGTCCCTGGGAAGGAGGCAGAATAGGAACTCCAGTGGTACTTGGTAATCATTTGGGTTGTATGTGTGTGGCCTCACTGCTAGCGGTAGTGTGGGAGGATAACGCAAGCTGACTGTTTATTTGGGAAGAGTTGGGTGGAGAAAGGATTGGTACAAGGGCAGTGAAAAACTGGGTCCAGAAATAGAGAAAATGGGGAAAGATTATAACAACAGAGAGGGATCTTCTGACAATAGGAGTGTGGATGCCCCCATGTTGCAGGGATGCTGACCTGCAGATCCGAACCCACAGAGACAGGGAGGGAACCCCCTGGGACAGCCCTGCTGGACTCCCCATCGGCTCTCTGCCCAAACGACTTGGTGTGGGAGGGTAGAATGAGGAGGAGAGGCTTGCACCCTGATACTCAGCAGTGGGCAGGCAAGGGGGATGGGACTTTAATGGAGTATCATTTGGTGTAATCTGCAAGTTTTAACAATTATAATTAGAGTCATGGGTGCCTGTTGTGATTTAATCGCTCTGTTAGTTCCTTAGGAGTGTATTCAATGAATAAACATTGTATTCTCAAGCCTGCAAACTAAAGAGAAGGGAGCTGGACTTGGGAAGTAAAGCTACAAAAAGCTTTTACCAAGCTTGCACTGTGTGTGGCTGGCTGTTACTGTGCACTGACCCTCCTCCCCCACCAACTTTCATAACAAAATCCCATGACCCTTCACAATAAGTACAGTTCCTAACATGAAGACTAAGAAACACAGCCATGAATAAAAGTAGGCTTAACTAGCAAACAATTCGCTGTGCATGAGGTGATCCAACGTATCTCTCCCTACCCCAGTCTTCCTTGCTGATGCTGACTCCAGCTTTACCCGTGGAGGTATTGGCAGGGCCACGTGTGTGCTGCCACGACCCCCTTTTAGCACGTGTCAGTACTGAGCTGCAGGAACAGCCACTGCGCGTGGTTTGGAATGAGTCTGATGCCAGCAAAGCTGGAAGCCATGACATGGCCAGTATTTCTGTTCTGGGCCAGACAGATGCCTCGCGTAGCACAGAAAGCCAGAGACAGCTGCATAAACCTGGGACAGAATGGATGGGTTTCGACCAGCTATTGTCCGGTAATTTTTCTGTGCGATGCTTCCATCCTGACAGGAACTGAAGTGAAACTGAATTAAACAAGGACAGCATCAAGGTTGTGAGGTGGCAGAGAGGAACTGTTCATCCCCAGTTGGCCCCCCCACTGAGGAGTTATGCTGCACGAGGAGCCCCTTGGCTCAGCTGGCAGGAACGAACATCTTCCACTTCTCAAAGCCACCTGGGGTGTCCCTACAAGGACCCCTTGAGAAGAAACCTGCTCCTTGAATAGAAGCCAAGCAGGATGAAAGGAAGCTCTGCTGAAAATCACCGAGCGGCTGTTCGACTTGTTTGTGCAAACTCTGCTGCCTCAGATGTGGGGAGGGACGAGTGATGACACTCGGAGCAGTCAGGGAAGCCAAATAGCACCTGAGGATGCTGTGTGGTGGGAGTGGCGGCTCACCTCACTCGCGTCTGATCCCCTAACTCTCAAATAGCAAAAAAAAAAAAAAGGATCCCCTGTCCATTTCCACATCTCACACCTCCATTTCTGGCTGCCCACGTGCTTTAGCCACAAGAAGAGCTGCATGAGAGAAGTGAAACATTTGCCCTTGCAGCCTCAGCACTGGTTAAGGTCTGTTGCACAGTCTTCCAGATGTTTGTCGGTTTGTTTGCAATAAATAGTTTGTGCAGGTTGGCAGGAACAGGTGGCAAAATTTACTGCACTGTAAATTACTGTATCATCCCCTTGAACTTTTTTTTTTTTTTTTTTTTAATCAGAAATACAGCTATCAACATTTGTCATGCTTCTGGAAAGGTGTCGTAGAGCAAGTCTCTGCAAACACTCCAGTTGTTCAGAGTTTTTGTCTGTACTGTTTAGAACTCAACATCCAAAGCAATTTAATCTCCATTTTCCTTCTGTATTTTTTTTCTTCTCAGAGTGGCTTATCTTAAATTCTGGGAACATGCAATCCCCAGGCAGAAGCATCCCAACAGTTTCTTAGGTGGAGACTGATGCAAAATGATAATTTGTCTCATGAGAAATCTTATTATTTGTTCCTGGTAATATCAGACACATCAATTTTTTGGAGCCTTCATGTTTCTGCTATACACATAAAACCAACTGAAATTTTGTAAGTACTTGCACTTTACATTCCAGTACAGCTCATGTAATCTTGTACACACCAGCTGTGAGTGATTAGTTGCCCTTGTTTGTGTTAGGTCAAATTTCTAAACTGTGAAGATGTGCTTTTGCTCAAACAGCACCCTGAAAAATTTAATTTCAGCCATATCGATTTATTCATTGCTTTCCTAGTGTCCTTTTGTTTAGTGATATTCATGTCTCCTAAATTATAATTTCTTCCAATAGCATTTCAAATAGCTTTGTTTCTTTTAACTTTAGGACCTATTGTTTGCTTAGTCTCATTGTCTTTTGAAATACCCCTTTTTAAAGATAAGTGGCAAAGCATCGCATTTTGATATCCTTTATTTTCAACACTGAATGTAATTGTCTGTCCTGTGACTCAACTACCATTGCTCCAGGAATTACCTTCTGTGCATTATTTAAGAGATGCACACAATGTTTTTAGTAATGTTCATCTATTCTATCAATTTCAAAGCAGATTAAAGCACAGTAAGATGGCACATAATTTTAAAAAATGTGTATCCTGAAAAAAGAAGAAAATTTTAAAACATTTTATTGACAAGTCTTAAACCCAATCATTTTTCTTGGGGGTGATTTAGAGCTACCAGTTGCTCCATGGCATAGTATTAAAACTGACAAATTTCCCCTAATTTGCTCCTTGGATGGTTCCAATTCCAGAGTCTACTTCCTTTAGGTCCAAATTCATAGAAGTTTTAAACCAGCTCCTCTCCGAAAGTTTTCACCCTTCACATAAAACAGCACATCAATTTACCAAAAAATGTCCAAATGCAAGTACTTGTATTTAGGGGCCATTAAAGACGATGAAGAAAGGTGGCATTCACAAAGCACAAGTTTAGTCCAGTGAAGCTCATGTGCCGTGCACCTTTTTGCAGTTCATGGAGAAAGGCCAGGTCCCCCAGAGGATATTTCAGAGCAACAAGCTGGTTTCTGAGATCACGTGAGAAAAAACCCCACACATTTCTCTGTTTTAATTACAACATACCCCTCCCAGCTTTTCAAATCCACGTGTCTGAAATGGGAACAACACAAACTCTGCCTTGTGCTCCTGCAGCCCGCTGCCTTCTGCGTTCCTTCCACCACCTCTGTGGAAAGGCAGGCAGAAGACGAAAGGATGAGCTTCACGTTGGGTACGCGGGTGTGGAAGAACGTGGGTTTTTGCTTTCCAGAGCAGGAGGTGTTCTCTCTAAAACCACAGAGGTGGGCGCGCTGTTAGGCCGCTCGCCGGGGCGGCGGGCGTGCAGGAGCCGCAGCGCGGCTCCCGAGGGTGGCGAGCAGAGCTCTGCGCTAGGGCACTCTGGTTAACGAGCTGAAAACATTATTAACCGTGCCAATACCAGCCTAACGGGAAATCTGTCTCTGCATATGTTGCATAATTTTAATATTATTGAATCAACGAGGAATTGTTTAATCAACAAACCCAGCAGGAAACCTTCAAATAGCAAGAGAAGAGACATGCACTTGTTTGCCCATTGATTTTGTGCATGCTCAAGCCTCTCAGGTTTCCTGTCCTGAATAGGGATTTCCAATTCTTGTTGGGCGACATCTTCAGTTTCTATCAGAGGAGTTTCTGTGGTCAGCTGGGGGGTAACAGTGTGTGTCTACATCCACCAATTCCACCTTCATGCTTCCCTTGTCACCAGCTGCATTACAGAAGCTGTTGCTTGGTCAACTTCAATCTCACTAATAATGACCACAACATCATTTGGACATGTATTTTCTGTCCAGGACTGAAGATTTTTTTCTGCATTGGAGTAGTTTCCTGACCCAGCTGTAACTGTTTTATAGGAAAGATTAAATCTGAAGGCATGAGACATGCTTGCATTCTCGCATGAGAAGAAAACTGTATTTTTAAATTCCTATAGACATTTATTGATTTATTTCTATGCTTAATGGTCCTGGCTTCAGCTGGGATGGAGTTGATTTTCTTCCTGGTAGTACAGTGCTGTGTTTTGGATTTAGTGTGAGAATAAAGTTGGTAACACACTGATGTTTTAGTTGTTGCTGAGTAGCGCTTATCGTAAGTCAAGGACTCTTCAGCTCCCCACGCTCTGCTGGTGAGGAGGTGCACCAGAAGCTGGGAGGGAGCATGGCCAGGACAGCTGACCCGAACTAGCCAAAGAAATATCCCTACCATATTCCGTACCATACAACATCATTCTTAGTATGTAAATGCTGGGGGTGGATTTGGCTGGGCAGTGGATTGCTGATGGGGCATTAGTCAGCCGGTGGCGAGCAACTGCATTGTGCATCATTTGTCTTTTCATGGGTTTTACGTCTCTCTCTTAAGAATTATTTTTAAATTACAATTTCAAATTAATTTTAAAATTACAATTATTATTATTTAAAAATTATTATTATATTTTATTTATTGAACTGTTCTTAACTCATGAGTTTTACTTTCTTGCTGATTCTCTTCCCCATCCCACTGGGAGAGGGGAGGAGTGAGTGAGCAGCTGTGTGGTGCTTAGTTGCTGGCTGGGGCTAAACCACAACATTAAGTCAAAGTATGGTCCGTACCCCTGAATGTTAAAATACTTCCTTTAAATACCTGGGTTTGTCCCCATTCTATCCCTTTATTGGGCAGTGATCCTTTTTTGTTATATGCACTGGACACGTGAAGTGCCCTGAAACCGCAGTCAATGGCCTGGCTTGTGTATCTTATTGTCTCATCTTTGCTTTCTAGAAAGTCAAGTGTAATCTGTAAACTCTTCACAGCCAAGACATGGTCTGACATCTACACCCAGAATCCCATGAGCTTTGAGACACCTTGGAGTCCAGAGACAAAACATTTATAATTCATAAAATTACAAAAACCTTACACGTTCTCCACCAAAAGCTTGAAATTAGGAATGAACATGTTGTTCACCCTTTTAATAATACCTGGTTCAACAGACAAGGCAACACATCCGGATGACACCCGAGTTCAGATCAGGTGCTGGCACGTTTCCAGGACGATCAGTAGCAACCTGTCTGAACCCTGAAAGGAGACAATACACTGTAGGAGATGGACTAAATCAGAGATTTGCTTTTGATACAGCCATATAACATCATGATAAGACTTTTCTTTCTCAGTTCTTATATGCAGGATTATGTACTCCTCATTGCTGCATATTTTGTTAAAACCCACCAACTTGGTTTGACTCCAGAGGGAGTTTTGCTTTTAGAAAGAGGCTTGCACAAATTGAGACACCAAAATTAATTTCTAGGAACAACCAATGAGTTTCTATTAGTTCTAGTATGTCACACTGCCTTTTTGCCTCTGCTTCTTTTAAGAATGAAGAATAAATGTTCTTAAACAATTATCTTAAACTAAACAAATGGAAAGAAATGTAGAAAGTGTTGTTATGGGGACACGACTAAAATTCTGTAAATGAGTTGTATGCTGTAACTGACTTGTACTCACCCTTGTATATTCTTCTGAAATATGCTAAATCAGTTTTTGAGACTTCTGCAGTGTGCAATGTATTCATCTTTATTCCACATAACATTCAGATGCAATGTTGGAGATTTAAAAAAAAAATTAATTTTATTTAGTTTTTCTGTATATCTCTGTTCAGAGGAGAGTTCCTAACATTAAAAAAAGTAATAATTGATAAGTTTAACTGATTGGCAGCTGGCATAAACTTTGAACTAAGTTACATTGAGTAATGCTGATAGACAGGTTGCAAATACCATATAGTTACTAAAAGGAACTAAAACTTCTAATGCTAAAATTATGATGGATTCCTTAAAAGACAAGGTCCATCTACACACTTATGTAAACAGCTCTTTCAATCTATTAAATATGAGAAATTATTTTAAGACTGTTTTGTAAATCCTTTTAGTTAAGACAAATAAAAATAGAGTACAAATTAAACACACAGTCTGATTCTTCAAACCTGATGGACAAGTCCTCCTTGGCCTTCAGAGGAGTTCCTTCCTGGCTGTACTTTCTGGATAACTTCCGCAAATGTTTCGTAACTTTATTTTAATTCCTAGTCAGTCGTTGAATTTGATTTTTTTTACTACAGACACAAAGATCATTTAAAAATAAGCGTATCTGTTTTCTTTTTTCCTCTGAACTTGACACCAAAGCTTTTGCTAAAAAAAAAAAATTTGAAATCCCATTTTTAGTAACTTGCTGCCAAAAGAAGACACTGCTGATTGCACGGACCCAGACACAAATGAGCAATGAGGAATTAAACTTCTAGATACATTAAAGCTAAATGGATTAATTTTTCCAAAAGAAAACCAAACAGCTTGTCGGAAGCAAGTAATTAGTAAACAAAAGAAACCACAAAAGCAATAAAAACCATCATAAGCCTATTAACATTACACAGAATAAAAAGTTAAAGAATAATCTCCATTCCAAAGTAAACATAAAATATCAACAGCAAGTAAAAGGCACCCTTGCATTAAAGCCAGAGCTGCAACAAAGCACACTTTGGGTAAACACACACACACTTCTGTGACTCAGAAGTGCTTTGCTCGTTAGTGTCCTTTTTCTTTTATTATTTGGTGATGCGAAGCTGGCTGCCATGCTTTGATGCCAGCCCCACTGTTCCACTTTTGCTCCCATTAGCTACATCCTAGTCATAGCTCCCATTACCAGAAGCAGCAAGCAACTTCCAAACGCACAAAATAAGCCAGCTATCTAATTTCTTGTTGCCCGCAGAGCAGTGCATGAGTTCAGTTTGAGGGAGGGAGGCTGAGGCATTTACTGCATTGTATTTCATTTGGATTGTTTCCTGGGGGGAAAGGAATCCTTGATGGTCACTGGTGCCTGATCTAGACAGTCTCAGGTCATCCACACAGGCATGCTCTTGTTCTGGTGGGTGACCCTGGGTGCCTGTCCACAGATGACAGGAATACAAGCATTTTCTCTTTAACACAATTTAAATTAAAGCTCTGAGTAAAGGCTGTGAAGGGAAGAGCTGCTTTGCTAGCTTCCCACTCTATCTTCCTAGGAGAGACCACTGCACCGAGGCTCTGTGTGGTAGGACTCTTCAGCACAAGCCTGCCTGATGGCTACCAACATACCAAATACTTTCTCTGTAGTTTCAGTACTCTTTAGGTGGGATCTTTATGGTTTCCTAATGCAGTCTCTCCTGTCCCTCCTCTGAGTGAGGGCTGCTCTGATGTCTATCTATCATGGAAGGCTCTGCTCTTCTCAAGACTCCCTCCCAACAAAACCCAAAGAAATTACAACAAAACACCTCCTGTTGAGCTTATATAGAACTTTGAAAATAATATACCTAATGTCATGCTTAAAAGGGATGGATACTTCCCTCACAGAGTGGTGAGATTTCTTGGTTTTCTTGAGACATTTCCCTAGTCCACCTTCTGAGTCTGTTTTCAGAAACCTGTCTTGAAAGGTTAAGCTTTCACCCCAGCCAAGCCAAGTCAGAGACATCTGAGAGGGGGAAAGAGGAAGAATCTAGAGAGCTTGACAGATAAGTCTATCTCCTATATAGAGTGGCCAACCAGGAAGACTGATCTGGACCTGGACTGCTGGCTCCTAAGGTCGTAAGAAAGAAAAAAAGTGTAACGTGTGCACCTGTGTATACATAGATGCACACTGTGTTATAGCTAAAAAATGTTCATCTATAATTGCTAAATGGCTCTTTTTGATCTGTTCCTTGTTTTACTGTTTAAGATCCTATGTCCAACTTTGCATTTTGGAGTAATAAACATTTATATTTACTTTTTCATCGTACTTACTAATCCTCCAACACTTGCTTATTATAACCTTGAATTCCTGAGATACTGCAGCATTCCCTGTCACAACCTTTAGAAAGATAAAACAACTATTTGTTACACATTCACCTTTTGCAATACAATTAAAGCAAAATAGTTATGACTCAAATTGTAGCCACTATTGTTTATAACAGAATGAGGAATATTGCTTCTCATTTATAATATTTGTTAAAGAGGTCTGAGAGACTCAATGCACATTCATTGATCAATGTACAACTTTTAAGGCCTGTATAAACAGTCTGGTATTTCCAGTTTACTATTATCATCAGGAAGGTAGACAAACCAGACATCCACACAGGATCTGGTGGAATCATCCACCAGGAACTAGCACATGAGCAGTTCACAGTAACGAGGGTATGAACCATATGAATTTTCCTTTTTGATTTAGGATAACTTGATTTGCATGGATTGTGCTAGTGATTTTGCCTTTCGGACCTCTGTCCTTGCCAGAGAAAGAGAACTGCTGTGTTAGTGGCTAACTGAGATGATGTCCACTCTTCCAACAGGATATGATGTTCCCGTGATGTTGCTGCCAGTGGCCACTATTAAATCCTGCGTATCCGGTATGCTACAGCACAGGGTCAGTCCCCACAGAGGAGTAAACAACAGTATTCTCTGGAACAAGAGTACTTCCGTGTGGAAGTCGAAAGTGGTAACAGTTCTGTAAACCAAACTGATTGCACTAGAACAATATAAAATTATTGCATTAGAAACGGGGTCAATTACATTTTAACTATAGTAAAAAAAAAAGGCATTTTTGATTCAGTTGTTATGTAAACAGGACAGACAAACTCCCCTAAATAACAGCATTTATAGTAAAAGAACAATAGACTGCTTTAAAAAGGACTTTTCCCAGCTTGCTTCCACACTTCTTTGGCTCCTTTAATGCTTTCTCTTTTCACACACTTCCAGTAACCTTGAATGCCTTGCTGTTGTGGTACCTGTTAATAAAGTTAAATTATGTTTAGCATTTACACAAAAAAGACTCTTATTCACAGACGATGTAAATGTAATATGTAATATATAATGCAGTGCTGCTGCTTCCATAGTTCACATGCATAATAACAAGTTCTTGGTGGCAGCACTCTTCCTAGATTCATAAACATTAAGGAATATTCAGTTTAAAATATAACTTATTTCTGTTCACTATCTCTACGTGTGTTTCTACAAGCATTAACAAGATAGTTGTAAGCAGTCATCTGTGGTATTTTTAAAAAAATGATGCCAGCTTGTTACCCTCAAACCTCGATGAATTCGGTTCCTCAGGACTCCAAGAAACTCGCCGTGACTGAGGCAGTCATCTCCATCTAGATCAAAAATCTTGAAGATGGTATCCAAAACATTATCCGAGAGCTCTTGTCCTGTTGCTACCTTCACTGCTCTCTTGAACTCAGCTAGTAAAGACATAATGTTACATTATAGGTGACTCTGAACTTGTAAAGAAATTGGAAAGCACATAAATAGCAGGATTCTGTACAATTTCCAATGTCTCATGGATATCCTAACAAGAATTTGGGATGTATGAACCAGTTAACTGTTAGGAGGCCTCAGTTCATGTGTTCTTGAGCTTGCTTCTTCTTTCATAACACTATTAATTGTATGATAAGCTTCTGAAATGCACTACTTAGCAGTAAAAGGGATAATTTTTGCTAGAAATAGTTGCATGCTGAAAAATTATGTACTTTTGGCTGACACCTGTGCATATGGATGATAAGTGTTTGCCTTGCTGTGGTCTCATAAAAAATACTACTATTTTATCTCAAACCAGTTTCGTGCCAATTCATTCTGCAAGAAAACTCTTCTTATCAGAGAACAGTATTTTATGATATGCTACACGTCAACCAACAATCCCCTCAGCAACTCTACAGAAACACAGACCACCATATACTCAACACATTGTTTACAGCACATGGATTTATATACCTGTAGTTCTGTTTTTTAAAGAAGTAGGCTGCCTTCTTTTAAATGATGACTGAAGAGTTTATGAAGATTTATGGCAGAAAAAGCTGTCATACCTCTCTGGAGACCTACTTTCCTCTTCAGCTTTTTGGCTTTCTCTCTTTACACTACCATGGGCATTACAGTAATACCTACTACCCCCACTTTTGGTCTTGTGGTGTAAAGAAGTTGGAGTTTTGACTCAAGGAAGATGAGGAAATGTGGGGTTGCCATAAAACAGCAGATACTAAGAGTGAAATGATTATTGTCTATTATAGCAAGCACAATCACAACACATGAATTGGATGCATTTTTGAAGGCATTGTGGAAATGTGAATTTCAAGCAGGGACTGGAGGTTATTAAAGTATAGCAATACTGTAGATTATTACAGCAAGTTGTCCAACTATATATAGTATATATTACTATATAAATACAGTAATAACATGGCTCTGCTTTCATAAACAAGTGCTGTTTATAAATAGTGCTATAAATATGATTAGTCCTGAAGATTACAAGAGGAAAGGGCACTCCTGACTTAGTTCTCACCTTTGAATAATTCCTGTATAAATCCACTTGATTAATTTATAGTTGGTTTAAATATAATTAAGTTGAAAATCCTTCTGTAAAAGGATATAGCATGATTTGAAAAGGACATGAAATACGGGATGCTTACAATAGAGTCTTAAGTTTGTCTTTAAAAAGGTGTTAACTGTTTCAGCTCTTGAAGCTAAATATAAATCTAGAGATGGCACCGCACTTTTTTGAACAGAACATGAAAGAAAAGGAAAAAGATCTTCCAAAATGGTGGAGCATAATATTCTTAAAGTGCCACCTCATCATAGAGAAAAGATGAGCTGCTAATTTAGAAGGAAAAAAAGTCTAGAATAAAAGGAAGGACTAAAGGACTGTCTTATTTTTAGATAAATATTCATATGCGTGTGAATACACACATGTAGACAAATGCAAACAGCAAGACAAAGAACTTAGTGAGATTCAGGAAAGGACTGGACATGTAACATCTGGAAGTGACCTCAGGAGCTGACTGTTCTTGATCACAGTGTGGTTCAGTGCATAAACAGAGTCACAACTGCCTGTTGGTTAGGAATGAGTTCTTACAAGGAAACACTACCAGAGTCAACACCAACTGCTGGCCTCATCATCCTTTGGCACTTAAAAATGGGATACTTAATAGAGAAGTGAGCTAAACTCTCATATCTTGCTTATGACTACTATTTCACCATTAATTCATCCTCTTTCGTCTCTACTCTTTGTACACCTTGTGCAAATAAAATCTGTCTCCCCCCCAGAAGAAAGATGTTGTCAAACCAGACAGAGGAGGGCCACGAACCCAGCTGGGAACTAGAGCACATGATGGAAGAAGAGAAGCTGAGGGAGCTGGGGGGAACAGAAGTAAAGGGGGGGATCTTTCTGCAGCCTTCAACTGCATTAGAGAAGAGAGCACCATATTTTTCTCAAAGACGCATAGTGGTAAGACACGATCATTGTAAGTTGCAGCAAGGGTTTGACACAGAAAAGTCTTTATGATCAGAGCGGTTAAGCACTAGAACAGCTGCCCAGAGAGGCTGGGGAAACGAAACTCTTCCTGAAGGCTGGACTAACTAGTGATGAAAGTCACAAGTTGTAACTCCTCTGGTTTTGACCTTCTTTGGTTCAAACCCCATCCAAATATTTCTTTCTCAAGAATATTGAATTATCTTCCTGTCTTGTCAGATCTCTCTCACCTTTTTCACATGAGCCCATCAAATATTTATTTCAATCAATGTTAATATCTCATCAAATTTCCTTAGGAACTTCTTACGTTGCTATTTTCAAATGACTTATGAGAGCTGTTCTTTAAGTATAACAAGTAACAACCCCAGGATTATAACAAAAAGCATTTGTATGTCCATGAAACTTTTGTTGCATTACTCCTCTTTCTACTATATGGGAAGGAAACAAATTCCCTCCTCCAAATCTTTATTTTAAAAAACACTTCACTACATGGCTTGTTTTTCATAGCCATGACTGTATAACACTACATAAGCACATGGAGAAGGCAGTATGGGGGGATTAAAACAGAGGAAGATGCTGCAGACCTTACAGAAGAAGAGATTTCTATTGTTTAATTTCCTCAGAAAACTAGTTTCACTATGAGGAAAAAGCATTATTATCACGAACTTCTATTAAAGCATGTATTGTTTCAATAAATTCTTCCTAATCTAGAATTTAGATTGGACTGAGAGCAGCTCTGTAGAGAAGGACTTGGGGGTACTGGTGGATGAAAAACAGGGTATGAGCCAGCAACGTGTGCTCGCAGCCCAGAAAGCCAACCATATCCTGGGCTGTATCAAAAGAAGTTTGGCCAGCAGGTCGAGGTGGGGGATTCTCCCCCTCTGCTCCACTCTGGTGAGACCCAACCTGGAGTACTGCATCCAGCTCTGGGGCCCCCAGCATAAGGAGGACATGGACGCATTAGAACGGGCCTAGAGGAGGGCCACAAAAATTATCTGAGGGATGGAACACTTCTCCAGTGAAGAAAGGCTAGGATAGTTGGAGTTGTTCAGCTAGGAGAGGAGAAGGCTCCGGGCAGACCTTATTGCAGCCTTTCAATATATAAAGGGGGCTTGTAAGAAAGATAGAGACTTTTTACCAAAGACTGTAGTGACAGGACAAGGCAAAATGGTTTCAAACTGGAAGAGAGCAGAGGAGTTAGACTGGACATAAGACAGAAACTTTTTACAATGAGGGTAGTGAGGCACTGGAACAGGTTGCCCAGAGAAGCTGTGGATGCCCCATCATTAGAAGTATTCAAGATCAGGTTGGATGGGGCTTTGAGCGACCTGATCCAGTGAAAGATTTCCCTGCCCATGGAAGCAGGCTTGGAACTAGATGATCTTTAAAGGTCCCTTCCAACCCAAACCATTCTATGATTCCATGGTTTAGTCTGCTGTGAGCAGTCCAGCATATATCGAAGCATTTTGGGAACTTTATATTATTATTTTGTCATTAAATATAATTAATTCAGAATACAGAGCAGTATATTATTTTTGTACTTCACAGTGCTACTTTGGGATACCTTATTTATATTAATTCTGTTAAAAAAAATGCATTTTTTCTTTTGTAAAAAGATACATACAAAAGGTGTGCAGCACTTACCCCGTTTAACAGGACGATTTGCTACAGTAAACATCTGCATGGCAATCGAAAAGTCTTCCAGGTTATTTGTAAACTTGCAAAAAGTCTTGAATTCTTCCAAACTGATATTCTAGAGTATCACAGAGTTCAGATGATATATAATGATTAATACGTTCAAACCCCAGTAAATCTATTTCATTAAATCTGGTGGGACCTAGTGTTTAGGTGCGACTGCCTACTCATTGTCAATATTTGCATTTCTCAGTTGGTAAATTGTTACTGTTCTTATCTGCATAAATTTCAAGGGCTGCAATAAGTCACTTGGAAAGTATTTAAGTTATTAGGTACTTGTATTCAAATGAAAACCTGTACGTACAACTGAGGAAGTGAAACAAAGCATGTTCTGTGTACCAACCTCTCCTGCCTCAATTCTGTCTTTCACATTCTGCCAGTAAATTTCATTGTTTTCCTCATCAGTGAAGTACAGTAACCATTCTGCAAAGTCTTCTTTCCTCATGACGTTCAAACCCTTTGAAAACTTTATGAATTCCATCTCTTGGACTTCTGTTTGCAGATTTTCCATGAATCTAAGTGTAAACAGATATTATCTGACAGTTGATATTTGCATCACTGTATCGCTACTACTACCTTAGCTACTAAATGCAGTAGATACTAACTTTTAATCACAGATACTATCAACATCATTGTTTATAATGTCACTGGTTTAATTTTACCTGTGCATGCCCATTTGTTCCCACGGCTGCATTTCAGTAATGACACCAGTAGGGTGCTCCCTAAGTCTGCATAGATGGCGGCTGCTAAAATAATTTACAGATACACTTGGCATCTAGATTTTACTAATGTTAAAAATGTGCAGATAGTGAGATAAAATAATTGGTAAGGCAGTATTGTGATGAATGAAAAGGAGATGGTAACTAAAGGCCTGACACATGATTTATGAAATTTCATGTTAATAAGAGAGGAATGACAAGGTTGGAAAGTGCCTAGAAAGATGAGGTCCTAATAATCACGAAGGTGAAACAGAAGAGGAAACCTGAAATCATCACTGCAGAAAAAGATGACTGAAAGCCTCAAAGATTCTAACTGCAAAGAGAGGTCTGGCAAATCAGTTCTGCGCTCACTAGAGGGTGGATTAGAGAGGATTACAACTGACACGTACAGAGTTCGGAAGAGCACAGAAAATGATGTTGCAGCTGTTTGGGAAGGTAAGAAGAGCTGTTTGAAAAAGGAAGGGGTGAACATCAAGGGGTTTAGGAGACACCCATTCCTTTAGGAAGAAAAAAATAAAATGGCACAAAATGCAAGCAACTGCCTGCAGGTACAGTGGTAGAACGGTAAGGAGAGTTGTAGCTTTGTTTCCCCAGTTTGGTCTACGTTGCCATTATAATTTCTTTTGGCTAACATTAATTTTGAGAAAGCTAAAGACAATACTGTGTGATCCATTAGGTAATCTCCACTTCAGAAATGAGGCAATCAAAAAACAAGTGATAATTTCAAAATATAAATGAAGACTAAAACCACAGCGATGCTTGCCAAAATGCCTTTAGTACTTTGAAAGAACCCTGCTTTATTAAGTTGCAAAGATTACTGACAGGAGAGAATGAAATACTCCTATATTAGGACAAAGCAATTAGTTGGAGAAGAGGACAGCTAAGGGTCTATGTAGCAAATATCAGCAGAGGCTCATTTGCTCATCAGTGTTTGCATGGCCTCAGTGGGTTTGAATACTTTCCCCTGAAATTACAGCAGTTTAGTCCGCACAGCTATCTTTAGTTCTTTAATGAGATCACTTGGACAATTAGTAGCTCGAAGCTCTGTGAAGTCTATAAGGGGTTAGCTGAAGACTGCTGTTAGAGCATAAGTGCTCTCTTGTATTTTTTCCTCTAATAATTAGAGCTGCACATGCAAATAAAAGGCCAACAAATGCTTCGTGGCTCAAGACATGCAGGTAAATGAAAGCCTGACGGTGGAGGTGATTTTAGGTTTCAGGCTAGAGTTTTATTAGGGTAATATTGAGGAGGGGTATGATATGCTCTCACATTTTATATGGGCATTTTTCTGGCCCAGTAAAGGGGGTTACAAGGCTTCCACAGTATAGTCAAACACTGAGGTATATTCCTCCATAGTCTACCTTAAGACCTGGCTCATTTTCAAGTCCCCCGACTCCCCCTCTCACAAGGGGATGAAACACCAAAGGATCTGTTTGTGCCACCAGCGTGAAGGAGGGGCCCCTTGTCTTACAGACCAGCGAGAGCTGACTTGCACAGCTTGCAAACCACTCTTCAGTTTTCAGACGCAGTTCCTGTCATGGTAACGTGAGGGGCGACTGCTGGCTCTGGCCAGCCCGGCAGCCAGCGTGGGCTGGCAGAAGCAGCCCTGCCACAACCCCGCCAGAGTCCCCTCACATCCAGGGCAGGGAGGCCGAGCTGTGGGGGGGGGAGGATGTCGTGGTCCAGGCACGTTCACCAGGCACGGAGTCTGTCCAGCAGAGGCTGACTAGGGCCATCTGTCTGCGTTTTGGGAGTGGCCATCAAAAGCAAGGAGGAGATGGTATCTGGGATGTGTGGCTTGCGCCTGGCTGGAAGTCACAGCAGAGACCATAAGGGACAGTAACTGCACCTCTAACTGTCATTTCCAACCCATATAATGTCTGGTCTGGGGGAGGACAAGCTGCTGAAAATGAGCTCACTTACAGAAATATACCTAAACCAAGGATGTAGGGAAACAAGACACCATGTGTTTTATCCTCTTGGCTTTTATTCTATGAAAGGTGGACGCATTTTGCAACAGACTTGAGGTCTGTTATTGAAAGTATGAGTTATTTACCTTGGGGAGCTAACTCTCAGTCATTTGCTTCACTGGTCAGTAGCCACAGGTGATGACAAACTACATATTCATCCATCTTTTCTAAACATCGTACTTTCTTAAGCAGAAAACCCTTAGCGATCTGCCTTCTAGCCATACCCAATAAAGGCAGGACAGCTGAAAGACCAAGCATTTCTGTGTACTGAGGAGAGAGTGCATGCCCCATCTAGCCACACACATCAGCCAGCTGAAAGGTGCAGCAAAGCCAAAGAAGAAGGTGAAGGGTTTGTCTGTGGCATTTTTGATGTGTTCTTGCTTCTGCACCCTCTTCTAGTCAGACACCTTATAAAGTGAAATTCCTCCAGACTCATTTTTTTTATTGGTTTTCCCATGGGTTTTCCACTGCCTTTTCTCAGGCCTGGGTTTTTGCCCTCTCCAGTTCTGGGGCAAGGACACTGCACCCTTCCTGTGGCACAAGAGCCATGCATCTTGCTGCACTATGCAGATTAGGAAGGGTTGTGGGAATCACTTATTTAGGTACAAAACCCCCAGATATTTAATTTCAACCTGTAGGCTTGCTCCTGGCAAGCCAGAGTGGGAAGATTTCCTGCCATACCAAATGCTACTTGGAGCAGCAGTTGAATTGTGCAATTTAAAATGTATATGTGATAGTCCCCCATATTATAAAAATTAAAATACTATGAATCATCGCATCAGCATTCTAGGTCACTCTTATTCCCAGATGTGAGAGTTAAAAATCCTAATGAGTTTTTTTTTAAACGAAAGTTATTAAAAGTTATTAAAAATAACTTTCTGGGTAAGAAGTAAAACTTGATACTTAAGTGCCAAGACACCGCTAGGGATACTTGCTTTAGAATCTTCTGGATCACGGTGCGATGAGTTTCAGCTGCAAATTCCTTAAAAATTTCTCCAGATATTAGGAAAAACAAGCATAGGAATGAAATTCCTGCTCTCTCAAAGTCTGTGGGAGTTTGGCTGGGGACTTTGAAGGGAGCCAGAATTCAACTGCGGGAACAGGACTCTGATTGCAGATGTGCTCTACAATTCAAAAATAATTAGACTGGGAATACTCTTATGCTGTAGTAGCTTGAAAATAAAAACAAGCCTTAATTTTCCAAATAACAAAAAGGAAAGGTAAATCATAAATTTATAAGATGGAGAAAAGGCTGGGAACAGACCGTACCTTCTTTAAGATAGTCTGTTTTATCCACAGTCTCTAAAACACCCACGTTGAAGGCCAATGGCCAAATTTGTTATCGTGTTACAACAGCATCCAGAAACCTTATCAGGATTTATCCTTCATTTTGTAATGTGCTCTACTATAGAAAGAGGGAGTCTCTCATGACTTTTTGGCAACTCAGTTTTAATAGAAGTGAAAATGTAATAAAATTAGGGAGACCTCAGGAATGCAGCTATTCCCCCTCTGACCTGAAATGTTGCAATGAAGTGCTTGCGTTGTATTCCTTATGGCACACAAAGTAGCAGAATGAAACACAGTTAGTTAGGCAAAGTTTTCCTTCCTTTAACTCTTGACCTGAACTGAAAGTCTGTGCAGAGCTTTAACACTCTAATACAGAACTGACCAGTTCTTGTTGCACTCATTTATAGGAAGAAAAATTAACAACAAAGATAGTGGTGAATATACGACCCCAGAATTTGTCCTCTGCTTTGGCTCCCCTTTGGACACTGAAGTCCTTTAGAAGACTTAATAACCCTCTCTGCACCAAAAGACTGCAAATCAGCTGCAAGGTTGCCTTTTTGCAATCAAAACAGAATACAGAAAATCTAATAAAGGCTTGACCATTAACCTTTAGAGAACATTTAGATCTATGCTTGTAAGTTCAGTTTTGCAAGCAGTAAGACAGTTAATCAATCTCACCATTTTCAGAACTACAGGCAAACCCTCTTTGATTTACCGTCCTCAGTGTTTCCAAACCAAACAAAAAAATCTTACTCACTCTCATTTATAAGCATTAACCAAGCTATTCCTTTGTTAAGTATATAAAGAAACAGAGATTCTTCTCAACATCATTACTAAACATTTGGGAACTACTCAGATTCAGTTATGATAGGAATATACAAACATGAAGTCAGATTTTGTTTCCGTCTCCACTTCCTCACTGTCTGATCCTGCTTGCACGAGATGTAATCTCTACGTGTGTTAGGGCTCTGTATACATATACGCACACATAGGTACAAGTGTAGGTAGAGAGGCAAATATTCTATTTCTGCAAAGCACTTCCAAATCCCTAGATGAAAATCACTGTAAATGTACAAGCTACAGTCACAGCAAAAGCACTACCGGCTGACGGTGGTACCTGAAAGAGATTCTGCATCCAGGCATTGGCACAAGCACAGAACAGCACCAGACAAATGTCAGCGCTAGCAGGGTGGTTCAGCCTGGATCATTCTGGTTTCTTAAATGAAAGGCTTCAAAGGAAAGGTACCATGGAATTCAAAATACTGAAGGAAAGAAACAGGACAGGTAGGGAAAAGGCATGTTTTGTGTGCGGTTATACAATTTGTGACCTTTAAGCTAAAGCAGAATATAAAAAAGAAACCAAGATTAAAGAATATTTCTGGTGCAAAATTCTATTAACTGATGAGAAGTTTGTTTAGCCATACTGGGAAGTACTTTTTTTGTAAGCCATCCCAGGAAAAAAATACAATAATCGGAAAGTTTTTTGAATATTCTTTCCATACTCCCTGTACTTTTTTTTTTTTTTTTCCTTCAAGGAGATTGTGAGAGATTTAAGCTTGCTTAGGGACAGATTACAGAAAAAAAAAAATCATAGCAGTTGTAAACCGTTTAGGGAGTGAATTACTGTCTCCTCTTTATTTGGGATTAGACATACTTAAACAAGATCAGTAATGGACTTTTTTCAGGGAAAAAAAACAGTGGCTGTCAAGAAGAAATATTTTCTACACCTAGAAAACTGAATAGTTTTCTACTTAGAATAAAAAATAGAACATACAATGTAGCTGAAAATTAAAGCATAAGTGAAACAGTTTTTTGAAGGAAAAGACCAAAAATTATTTATGTCTCAAAAAAGAGAAGAAACTCATGCAAAAGACTAAAAAGCCTGGAATCCCACAGAACTTCTGGTTTCATATGGGTCCTGGTATTAGAAGATGGTATTGTTGTGGAGCTGTAAAACTGAGTGGTGGTTATCTGAAACAGAAAGTTGTTCAGGTCTTCTGAGAAGAAAGTCTTACCTGGTTACAGCTTCTTGTATTAAATCTACCGTTCTTTGTTACATAATTTTAGCTTGCTGCACACTGTTTCATATTTTCTTAAAATGATACAGGAGAATAATGATTCCAGCTGTATTGGACTAGGAGGCAACACCTTTACTAGTGATGTACAGAAACACACTCCAGAATAATTTAAATTTCCAAACTTTCACCAGGGAAACAAGCTGTTGCTTTTGAAGTTGTGAAATATTAAAAATAATTACCATATTGTCCTTAAGTTAAGGACAATACAACTGGCAAGAAATCATGTAGCAGTCTGGGGCTGAACATGTGTTCCTCGAGTCCTACCTTAACATCTCTGAAACCACTTTGTTACTATGGGAAAGACACAGGGTGGTGTGCTTCCTGGGTTGCCTCCACTACTTCCAAGCAGTCCCTGGAGAAGCTGCAGAATGAAGCAGGAGTCTCACCACTGCTGCTCAGCAGAGAATGAGAAGGAGCAGCTTTGGCTGCTGTTTTCACTATGTTCTGTATGAGAGTGAGAAAAGAGCTTGACTGGTGTCACAAAATACGTATGAAAAGTTTACTTCTTTACTTCCACGCTCCCAGCAGCCCAAGAAAGGTTGAGAAGTGATCTGATCCTCTGTTTCATGGTCTCCTATCTTTACGTCTGCTAAAAACAACCCTGAGGATTGTCCTTGTGTGTATCACCTACCTATGATTTCCCAAGAACCATGCACCAGCTGGAGACAGATGGAGCACAGCATGCTTAACCGTTTTCCCTCCCTTTATCAGTGTGCCTCCTGTGCTCGGGGCAGTGGGAAGGCAGGCAGAAGAGCTGGCTTACATCAGCTCCACACTTCCTGAGGAGATGTAGACAGTTTCCATCTTCTGTGCGCCATTTGAATGCAAAGAAAGGAGAGCAGGGCAAATTAATTGCCCTGATATATTGACTGTGGCTGTCTGACAATTTTTAAAAGTTTGGACTGTGGGCTAAACGGGTTGGACATTGCTGGTGTACAGGTAGGTACAGATGGTTGCACACTTAGAAAAAGATTTTTAATGTCAGCCAAACTGAAAAGGAGGAAGCGTGAGGAAAATATATGTAAGTAATGAGGTGAGAACACTCGTCTCAGCTTTTTGAATTCCCATGTAAATACAGTGTGATTTCACAAAGAAAGCATTCCTGCATCTTTTTTTTTTTTCAGTTTCAAGGACTCTACAGCACAGCAATATCTGTGTATTTAACTAATGTGACAAGTTTTAGTGTGTCCTAATCAAACCTAATCATCCCTACTTTCTACTAAGTACTACACTGATCAATGGAAAAGCTTTCTAGGCAAGAACTTGGAAAATGATAAAAGCATTTACCACCATTATTTTCTGCTTTTGACAATGATCTATGTCTGTACAGCTCATCAGTCATCTCTTGTAAAAACAGCGTGGCACTTTGATCAAACAGTCAACAATAGCTTCCTGCATAAGGTAAAATGTTATGAGGGGCCATCAGATAGAAATCACATTTTCTCTGAACAATAGGAACCCAGAAATGATGTGCTTGATTTACTTGCAAATAAAATCATGTGAAAGGTGATATCTTCACAGAGGTTAAAAAGACAGTGATCCTTTTATTCACCTTTCTGTGTGTTAAACAAACTTCACTGTCACATTGCAACTGAGATGGAGTGTCTACGTAGTGATAAAGAGGCACATTCCAGCTCTACGAAACATAACTGCCACTGTTGAAAAATTACCTGCATTAAACCTTACACTTATCCCACAAATTTTAAGAGCAAGATGTGGGAGTTTGATTTTGATTACAGGCCTCTATCTGTGTGGTAGGCAAAGGTCTTTAACCTACGCGTTCTGAATGTACTAGGTACATAGTTTCATCAATGTCATGCCTCATTGGGTCAATGTAGGATTTTATCTAAAACCTGAGGCTTTTCAGTTTATACTTGTATATGCAAACACAACCTTTTACTGGTGCTCTCTGCCTTTTGTTTCATTGAGAGGATCTATGGTATTTATAGATAAAGGAGCGGGAGGCATCTTAAACTTATGTTAGTCACTTAGATTCCAACTGAGGCAAGGTCTTCAAAAGAGAAAGGTTGTTTATTTGAAGACTGGTGTGTGGCAGATCCAATGCAGCTGAACACTTTTTTGTGTTGGAACAATTGCCACTCCTCTTTTCCTACTCTGGCTTTCCCCAGACTTCTACTGATTGCAACAACATTCATTTTTAAGAGGGCTGACACAGATTCTCTGCTTCTGAACATAAACCAAAGTAAAACACATTACCCTAATTTATTTTTGCAGTCTGTAAATGACTGAATATTTTTGTAGAAAAGGTAATATTGATGTAGATAATCTTCTCTTGATGTTGTGCTGCAAGACGTGTGTCAAGACTCACACAGGTGCTTTAGGCACTTAACTTCCATTTATCTCAAAGAAAGACTGTGCATTTGGATTCTGGGCCCAAGTTCACATAGCAAGATGTGTCTGGAGTTCATACTAACAGAAGAAATTTTTCTCCCAAGTAACAGAGTTTTAACTAGTTAAGTTGTGATGCTGTGTAGGTGGTGGTCATCACTACTGATTGAAATAAATGTTGGAAGAAAGAATCTCATCCAATTAAAACGCTAACAGCTGATACCTGGTCAGGTTTTCAAGTCAAAAGCAACCACAGCAGAACTTCATACTCATACATATAGACAAGGATTACATCTTTCTGACATGTACATGATGTATAAACTGAGTAATTCCCTACATCAGTCTTAGAACTTTCTATTAACTTCTGATTTTGCAAAGCTTACAGTGAAGTAGATGGGTATACTGTGCTATGTTTCCAGGAGTAATGGCCACTTGGTATTTCACTGTAATTTCAGTCTGATGTGGTGTTTATCATATGGCTCAATTCTCAGTTCTGACACAAATGCCACGAAGGATCTGCCTAGTCCCATTGCAAAAGTCGTTCAAAGGGTAAAGGAAAAGGCACAGGTAAAGTTTCAACAGAAGCTGGAATTTGAAGCAAGCAGAGAAGTTGCCTGTAGCCTACCAAGACAGCTGTAATGGGGAGGGGGGTGTCTCAGCTCAGAAAAACTTTTTTAATTGATTAGCAGTCACATTTTTGGTGATATGATCAAGAAAAATACTTTTTAATCATATTGTCTTAAGGTATGCCATCACACAGATGCCAAGAGTGGTCGTCTCAACTCTCATGGCCTCCAGGCCCACATCTGGTTTGGAGTTATCATGGTGCTCAACTCTTCCTGGAGCTAAACTAGACTCCAGGAGCTAAACTAGAAATTTAATAATGCAAAATCAGGAATCATGTCCTGCTTCATTACCTGCTTAACTTTCTGAATCAGCTCAGTGTGAGGTCAGATTAATGCCAGTGTTCGTGCAAAGTAGAAGGGGTAGAAACAGGATTGGTTGCTGTTAGGCTTGTCTAGCTGAAAAAATACCTGAAGAACTCAGAATAGTGAAGTTTTTCCTTTCCTTCTTTTCCAAAGAAATGTACCAGCAACATGGTATTAACACCACAGCTTTCCAGTTCTGCTCCCTAAAAAACAAAAAACTGTATGATTAATTATTATTGTATGATTATTAATATATATTCACCACAAATATATAAATATTTATAATTTCACAAGAGACACTTGCAATTTAATTACTGTTCCCAAAACTACCACACAGGACAGCAGAGCTGAATAATTCTTCCACATCAACTGGTAACAGTGCATTATACATTCTGCTTCTAAATAGTCTGTATGAAAGGTAATTACAATTTACAACCACCTTCAGTGTATTTTATTACTAGAACTGAGAAAGCTGCTGGCTAAATCTTTAAAAATCTTTATGAATAGAGGCTTTAAATAAAGTTAACATATTCGTAAAAAAGTTTTTAGTCAGATATTTCTGATTTGTTACAGCCATTTAAAGACATTCATGATAGTCTCAGAAATGAAACTACAAAAATACAAACATTCCTAGTGCTCTATTATAATATGGTCTTCCAGGCTTCTTGCAAATTTTCACTGTTATTGACTTCTATATAATTTTTAAATTTGATGAAGAGATTTATACAGAAAAAGGATGCACATTATTTCAACTCGACAGCATCTCTAACAAGCCTAAAACCACACATAATGCTGGATTTCTGTTCTATTCTTCTTTCAGCACTAGCATACACTGGCATTTCTTTGAACGCAACAAAACACTAAGCAACATGAAGAGAAATTTTTTTTGTAAGTCCAGAGGGATTTCAACAAACTATTCTTATGACATCTAAATAGCCTCTGTGTCTTTTATCTGGTTGAAGAGGTAAGATGAAAGACAAGAGTCTATTCATAAGATTTAATACTAATGGTTATTTAGCTTTCAGCATCATCAATAACAAGTCCCATTAGTCCACTGTGTGTTTCATGCTTACTGCATATGTGACACAGTTATTTTATAGTTAAAGAGGTAACAAGCCTCATTTCTGCTGCAAGCTACAATTCACTAAATGCCACTGATAGGAGTTATGTATGAGTGAACCTGGAAAAAAACTTCTCAAGCCATATGCAAACTGTACTTATTGAACTTTTATCATTTAACTGCAGGCAAAGAATATTTAAATACCCACAAGGTCCATCCTTCTGAAGTTTAAACACTTCAGATTACTGTGAAGACTGATGCATAAACATTGGTATATGCTTTTTTGAAAGCCAAAGTCAAACATTCATGTGTGGTTATTTGAAATTCAAACCCAAACTATTTATGACAGAATGCACAGTTTTAAAAGAAGAAACAGAAAAATCCACATATTTCTTACTGCAGTGAGATTCTAACCTGCTTTTTGTGCTTTTTTTTTTGCTTACATGTTTAAAGAAGACTTGAAAAATGCAAGAAATAAACTTGCTGATGTAATTTTAAAAACTGAACTCATGACTACACAATTTAATGCTTCCAATTCAATTACTCCATATTATCAGCATTGTATTGAAAACAAACTGAAAAATAAGGTTTAAAATAACCTCTTAAAAACTAAGTCTGCAACAGAAAAAGTTTTTTTCTTCTATTCGTGTTTCTCTAGTTATGAGCAAGAAGACATACAAATAATACCTTTCTCATCTTATCTAAGATGACAAAGCCTATTCCTGGATTTATAACAAATATGCACCTACTTGTTGGCTACCCTCTTTATCAGTTGAAATTCCAAAGTGGAATTGGCAGATGTCCAAACACTATGTTAGTGAGAGCTAAATGTATTTTAAAACTACAAACCAGTACATTTTGTTAAAACAGAATATGCAATAGGAGACCACAGAGACTACAGCTTAAGGGTAAAATAAAAAAAAAAATTGCTTTTCCTAGAGTTAATGCTATTAAATTAAAGTACATGTTAGTACATAATTCCTTTTTGTCCACAGAATCATTAGAAGCTTTTGCTGTTGAACTGTATAAATTAGTACCGACATGACAAATCTTTGTTAGAAGATAATGAGAGCTCTATTAATATTTCCAACACCTCACCCTCCTGAGCTTAGGTAAAAGAATAACTTATATTTGGAATGTATGTCTTGGCAACAAGAATGAAATGGTAACGTAATCCTGAGGCTGTAAAAAGGACCAGACTTTTGTATCTTTGAGTCACGGAGCTACTATCTAAATTGAGTGAAAGTTTGTATTCTGGTGTATCTGGTAGCTTCAGCCCTGGGAGGGTGCACCACAGCACCCTTTTGGGCTGTGCACTTTACAGAAAGCTGAGGCACAGAGCAGAGAAAGGATGGTGATGTTCTGAGTCTCATCTTGATACAAGCATGGGATGGGGCAGGCACATATATCTCAACCAGGGAACTCAGACACGTTCCAGGTTCCACTGATTCAAAGAATTCCAAAGACAAAGTTCTGATGCCACACAAGTCTACATGAACTAATGAACATGTGTATACATATTACAAACACGGGCTTATTTCCCTAGAGTAATGTTAACACCTCATACACTTTTCAAAAGCACCATGAACTGCTGAATTATGCAACTATTCCTTTTTAAGCAAGATCAGATAACACAACATTTATTTCCTTATTACATTACGCAGGCTGTTAACATAGAAGTTGATGCTGCACTGAGTCACGGGTACAGACCTACCTAATCCTGTAGCTCCCTATGAAGCTTCTGACATTTAGGACCTGATACTACAACAAGTAGCAACAAGTGCCACTGAGAAGAAACTTATCACACAGTGAGACAGGATTTTCAGAATAATGTACCTAACCAATTTTCAAAACTCATCTGAAATGTTAATAGACTTACTGTCTCTAGATTCTCACCACCTTTCCCTGCAGAGTTTGCCTGAGGCATGACTGGAAAGCATTCATCGTGATTAAAATCTGTAATACGTTCCTTGTTCTCTTACTTGCTTCCTGGGAGATGGTATTTGCTGTGCAATGTCTTCTTTCAATAGAAATTGTAAAAATAATACATATTTTGGATTTAAAATTTTTTTTGGAGTAGAAGGAGAGTGAATAGATGAAGAGTGGGGGCAGAAAAGAGAGGAGGGTCAATGGGAACAGTATCTTAGTTTCTGTTTGCTAGTGATGTCCCAAATCTTTCTGAAGGTAAGACTAAATCTTTGCAAATTTTTATGAGTCCTCTTCTCTGAAATGCTCTTCATTTTTCAGTTGCTGTGTCAGTCAATTCATCATGCCAGGCTTCGATCCCTAAAGGCAATCTGGACTTCAATCTAAGCAGCCTAGCCTCAAACATTGCTCAAGAGCATCAAGCCTTCTGTTATTTTGAGAGTCTCCAAGATGACAGGATATATCCTACAACTCAGTTCTGGGAAGAAGGTTTAAAAGATGTATCCATTATGAAATCAATTCTATCAGGTACAGCCAGTCAAAAGAATTGTAAACAGGCAAGCTAGTGGGACTGGGAGATCCAGATATCCAAAAGCAGTCTCTTTTTTTGTAAAGCCCACACAGCCTCAAGTGGGCTCCAGACTGAAACAACATATCATTTTATAATGAATCTGCTTTAACCATGATGTAAATCCACACTAAAGTTTTTAATGCTTTGCAAGGCATTTTCTTACTAGGTAGGATTCAAGAATACATCAGGTCTGATACAGAAAGGCTAAAATGTGTGTAATTTTTTTCTACAGAGGGTATAACAGAAAATATCTGAGAAGTCATCCAATGGAGCATTTCCTAAACAATAAACAGCTTATAACCAGCATTCTACAACATCCATAATTCCCATTACCAGGGGATTATTTGTTTTTTAATGACAACTAAAGCCATGGAATCATTATGCTGTACCATTAGTGCATTTAGCAAGGAAGAAAAACCCACAATTCTGCATCGGTTCACGAGGAAATACAGAATAAACGGTTTCCAGCCAAGTGGGCTAAAGCTAATTTAGCAGAAGACATTGCAGGAAATACTTTATGTCAGAAATAGGAACAGGTTGAAACTAGTCTTGTGGCCAGTAGGTTGACTGCATCAAGAAGACAGGGAGCGGCACTGTTGCACTGCAAAGCCAGAGGCTGCACGACCACTGCACTGCTGGCTGCTGGGGAAAGCAGCTTCTATGCACAGTTGGGGATGGCCCCTCACAAGAATTCAGGCCCTGCCTCCCTGCTACGCCATACTTTAAAAATATTAATTTCCACCAAAAGTAGAGAATCTGTGACGAGGACCTCCCTCAGGCGGTGTGACGTTCTTTAAAGCACACTCTCTTGATTAATGTGGACTTGGCCTCCAAGGCCGAGCACACCCTTTCTCAGCATGCATAAACCTCCTTGCTCTCGGCGCTCAAACAGACTCAGATGGTGTGTGACCAATTCCCCCAGCCCGGTGACTGAACGCATCTCCTCGGGTAGTCCATGTTCAGGCTGCCATCCCAAGTTTCAGTTATCACAAAATGACAGCTGAGCGTTCTTACGTGCACTATTTCCAGTTTATTCCAATGAATTTTACAAGCAAATGCACTAGATAGCCTTCAGAGATTGTGACCAGATTCTTACTGTTTTGAATCTGATTAGAGCTGTTAGTGCAAGGCCACAGTTGTGTGTCTTCCCTGGCCTGTCAGGATCCCACACTGCTGCCTGGCTTCTCTACGTAACTTAAACTGCTTCAGGGTAGGTTAAACAGCAGAGACTAAAGGGGTAGCCTTGCCTCACACATCTGTGCAATGGAAAGCAATGCTACTTTGACCACAATGGGCTTCCAGATAAATTCCTCATGGTAGAGACTTTCATTATCCAAGCCAAATTTCAACGTACTTGCAGAATAGGTATCTAGAAAGATGTCAGAAAGCATGTTTCTTTGTCTCTCTTGAGATTATAATGTCATCAGATCACATGGAAATATAAAATCATTTCCTTATCCATGAGGTAAACAATGATCCAGCAGTTTTTTAATAACCTAATATTTTGATGCCACATGGCTTGGTTCTTTATGGAGTTTACCCATCTGGAGAGCTTCCTTTAAAGCATGCAGGAACATTGCAGTGCTCCTTGGTTTAAAGTATCTGAAAGCTTTTCAACAGAATTCAACTTTAATCTGCTGATACAAAACATACACATTTATATTGGAGAAGATAGGTCAAGAAAAAATGTGCATTCCGTCTGAAATGAGAGGTGATAAGAATAATGACACACTCTTTTGGAGAGGGTATTAATTTTAGTCTTGGACCAGATTCTTGCAAAATTTGGTGTGCTGCATCCCTGTCACAGAGTATTACTGCACTAGAAGACCACAGATCTCAACCACCATCTTCCTCCCTTCAGTTTAGGCAGTCTTTAGTTATTCTGGGCCCAGGGCTTTGCAGACTTTGAAGCTATGGGTAGAAAACTCTGAACAAATTAGCAATTCTAGGGAGCAGATGAGCAGGTTACGATGGCATGCACAGTCTCTGTGGCTGAGGAGATCCACTACAATGCTGCAATGTTTGAAGGCCCAGCCTTGTGCTGACCAGCTAACTGGTGACGTGTGAATGACTCGTTTCATTCACCCTTCTTAGGACCAAAAAAAACCCCCCAAAATAAAAGAGGTAGACAGGTTAAAACAACCGATACACAATTATTAGGAAAGTTTCCATGTGTGGGTCTAAAAGTATATTGCTTATAGTCAGGCTGAATTTTAGTTCAAAAGTTTTCTGTTTAAAAGAGATTAATAGCTGTGGCCCCAAGTACTAGTTAAATGTTTTAAAAAAACCCCATGTAAATGAGATACTTTGTATGAAAATGTGTTCATTATGGAATCCAGAAGCATATGTTTAATCATTTGGACACGAGACAATGCACGTATTTCCCAACATGAATTCAATTTTAAGAACAAATGTAGAACATTTTGTATTGTCATTCCTTTCCTAACAATAGCTAAAATTAATTTCTCAGTTTAGCTATTACACAAAGCATATTAAATTAGAGATATTGAAACTACTCAATAACTTATTAATCTAAATTGAAGAGCCCAAGAGCAAAGTCCCTGATGTAGACAACTGGGCTGTACAGTAGATGTCTGCAACCATTAGCATTGTTTTCATTACCAGAACACTAATTATCCTTTTCAGGAATTCAGGGCAGTAACACAAAAGCAACTCGTGCTGTTCACTGGGCAACACCTTTTTCAAAATACACCAAATTCTTCTAGCTCATGCACTTTCCTATAACACTCTACACCACTTCCAGGTAAGGGGTTTGCCTCTCCTCTTCCGTGAAGCATGGTCAAATGCTCAGCTGGATGTCTCTCATGAAGCAGAACAGTTCTGCTAGGAAGCCAGATGCAGTATTTCCTTTGGCCTATGAGAAGGTGGGTGAGGTGAAACAGTCACTGCCTCTGTTGACTTCTGCGCCATTTTCTCCAGTCTAGTTAGAAAGAACTAGGTTGCCAATCTTGTAAGTCTCCTTACATCTCTCCTCCACTGTGTGCACACCTGGGCTATGAGCAAAACAGATTACCTGCTCTGCAAAAGCCAGCAAGGAACTTCCCAAACGACTGGTCTGGATAAGGCTAGGCAGTTTTTTTTTTTTATTTTCTTCCACCATCAGTTATAATATTAGAAAAAGAAAATCCCTCTATTGAAATATATTTGTCTGGATAACCATGTCCACTGCAATCCCATTCAAGGTTCATTACTAAGTGGCAAAATTTTGAATTTTAGACGCGTAAGTCAAAGTCTCAGTAAAAAGAGGCAAAGATACAAGCACCCCGGGAACACAGCAAACAAACTGCTTTATCTTTTCTTAATGCAGTATTTCAGTATGTATTAAGTGGTATCTCTGCACAGTAAATGAATGACTGGGACCTCCGTCTACACACTGTACAGGGCACATACCTGGGTATACCTGCTGGTTAAGTAAGGTTGAAGCCTACCATTTAAATCTTATTTTCATAAGTCAGTGACATTTTCCACCTGGTATCAGAGACTGGGATTACTTTGAAAAATCAGCAAACTCTTCTCCAAATTGTGAAAGTGTTGTGGAAATTAAGAACTATCCCAAACTCCAAACTTCTGGTTTTATGCTTTATCTACTTTGCTTGAAAGACATACTATGACTGCCACAATTATTAAAAATAAAGGGTAAAAACATATACAGTGACAACACTGTATAGTCAGATTCACTTCTTATAAAGATAACTTCTTTTGTGAGGGACTGAGACAGGAAAGAAAATAAAAATGAAAAGTGATAATTTGGACTTTGCCAAGTAGAAATATAGAGACCACAAGAATTTCAAGATAGTTGTACTCCCCAAAGCTATTTAATTCTTCTTTTTGAACATACTATAAATCCATTTGTAATCTGCTAAAAAAATTGTATTAAATAATATTTTCTAGTTACAGTAATTTCAGATTTTTCTCAATGAAGAATTCTGAAGACAAAATTTGAAGCAAGACAAAAAATAATATAAAGGCATTCTGGCTGAGGTATTTAATTAGCTCCCAATAAGCTTATGTGTTTATAACTAAATCTGTCCAATTGTATCAAAGTTTCTCTGGAAATTTTATACTACAGCTGTGCATTCATGCAGAATAAAGATCCTTTTTCTTTCACTGTCATAGCAGTTAAGTCTCAATTAAAATAGGTTCTGAGGAGCAGGCAACTGTATTAACCCTAGCTATTTTAATCTGGTGACTGATGAAAAGATTCAAGAAAGGAGACAGTTGTTAGTGAAACAATTTTTAACTGAGCTTTGGGTGCATACTGAGGGAGCAAAACCTTTACACATCAGAAGATAATTTTTGTTTATGCCTAGTAAATATTAAAGGTGTTAGCAATACCGACGCTTCCATTTTTTTCCCAGGCAGGTGAAAAAGAACGTGAGCTGGAACAACTCTTTGTAGAAACTGCTGATGCATGACAGGTTTATAAGGCAGAGCCCTGTATAAATTTCTAATTGAATGCTTCCAACATGAGCAGTTACTGCCTCATGCTAGTTACCCATTTTCAGTTTACAACTGAAAGCAAGTTTGTGGTGAGAAAAATATCCTTCAACTACACCATCCATTTTAAGCACGCAACAAAAGTAGTGCTGCTGATGTATGCAGCACCTTATAGTAATAGATGGAGATGATCCATCTGTACTCTCCCCCCTCCTTCGCCCTGGTTCATCAGCTTCTGAAGTGATGCTCAGGACTTCCCCCTCTCTGTTTTCAGTCTCACTCAATCTCATCCAGGCTACAGAATATCTTGTCTCTGTGCTGACTACAGACTGAAGAAGAGATGGCAAAGACTCAACTTGGGAAGAAGGTATGTTACACTGGCAGGATTCAGAGGAAAACATCCAGAAGAGAGCAGGAATTTACCTGCCCCCTTCGTTGGCAAGATGTATTTGCCATTTGCTAATGGTCTGCAATCCTGTGAAACTTCTAACCCAGTTGGAAGACCATACTCTAAGATTGTTTCCTCTGGTCTGCATTTACATAATTTCTTTCTGGAAGTGGACCTAACCAAAGTAATATTTGCCTTTTTCACCTCAGTGATAGTAATTACATTTCAAACAAACTCAGAATAAGCTGGTTATTACTGCAACAGCAGCATTTAGGTAAGTTTAAGATATCAATTTCTGTTTGGAAAGCCATCTTTTCTCATACAGCAATACAGAGTTTTTTCTGAGTTTTTCATAAATAGAAGAGTTACTCTGAAACAGACGTTACAGAAACTACATAATAGAGTGACTAGAAGTCACAAACATTTTTGTCTCCCCATTAGAAAGTAGTTGACAAATCATGTACTTTTATTTAATTAAAGCACTAATACTGATGCTTATATACTCATCTAAAAACTCTGAAAAATGACAAAGTTAAACGGGAAATATGACGATGTTTTTGCAAAGAAAAATGTATCTCTATTTCATACCCGAAATACTGTTTCTTCTCCAGCTGTTTTCAAATCATCTTCCTTCCCAATGATTCTCTGTAGCTGTATTTGTTAAACCATGAAAAAAACACAGGAAAATTATAAGTTTGGTCTTACAAGAATCTCCTTTTTCAGAAACTTGCATTAATTTCACCTTTTCTTACTTATAAAGTCATTACATTTCTGCAAGTTTTTCTAGTCATGACAAAATATTTGCATACTTAAGGATATTTTGCTATTCACACACTTTTTCCCAGGAATGTCTTATCTACTGTGGTTAATATAGCCAAGCAGAGCATATGAATCTATCTCTTGCAGCCCAGTGCTTACTCTATTTTTAGAAGAGATTTTCTTGCACTAGAAGCTTAGCATTCACTCTGTAAGATGTTGAAACTCAGCGATATAACATCAAGAGTCATTTGGGAAATAAAAATTATCCTGTGATTTTCATGCTGTTCTAGACAGCCTTACATAGTTCTGCTACAGACATGAAAAACATACTTGTTCAAATGAAGTACTATACAACTAACAAAGAAAAATTTAATTAAATAAGCAAATGTATTTTCAGAACTGGCATTAAGCATAATGTGATTTGAGTTTCACCTCCAGCCCACAAATAAATGAATATTGAATGTGTTAGCAAAGAAGATTTTTAGAAGTACAGAAACTTGCATTTAAAAACATAACTTCCACTGTCCCAAGCAGAGTTTTAAGGTAATATAGAAAGCACATTAATTTGCAGCACCTCAGGTGCTCAGGATTGCTCAACTGCAGGGTTTCTTGGGAGGTCAACACTGTCACAAGAGTGAGTGATTTAACATAGCACAGAGTATACCTACCTTTCACAGACATTTGCATGAATCCTCAAAGGGACAGCAAAAATGAAAGAACAAGGGACTTACTACATTTCAGGTAGAGATATGGACTTAGACCAATCACTCTGAATTTGGAGACTTTAGGAAAGATGCTTTTAAAGATCAGGGTTTTTGAAGCTGATGGTTTGCTTCTCAAACATTTCTGAGTGATTCCTCACACTGCCCATTAAAAGGGGGGGAAAAACTCCATGATCAAATTTAATAGCCATTGTTTTGTGGGATTTTCATATCTCCTCCTAGAGCTTTATTTTTTTCTTTTTTTTTTTTGTTATGTTGCTCAGAAGAACAATATGGGCTCATAAGCAGGAAGTTGGAAAAAACCCACTAACTGTTCATATTGCCAAAGGTCTTCCCTCAGCCTTCAAATTTTGACTAATTTACCTATTGTTTTTTTTTACAGCCTCAGTTTTTGAGTTCCTCAGGATATTTACTATTATTATTTTTCAACAGCACGCCTTGATAGTATTTACCAAAATAAATACTGTAAAACAAGGCAATTAAACAGTACTAGTTCTTCCAAGTTTCTCCAAATTCTTTCTATTTTTGATCACTTACAAAACAACTAACTAGTACAGTAAAAGCATTATTAATTTCTTCATAGTGAAACAACAATACAGAGCTCTGGATAAAAACCACAACTGTTCGACCATATTCTCACTGAAAAATTACATTTTTTCTTACCTGATAAATCCATCTTTTGCTCACACACAGGAAACACAACTGGAAATACTTTCCAAACAACAGAAAATACGATTTTTTTTTTCTTTTGGATTTTATTTTTAAATGACTCTTAAAAAAATCTGCAGAGACTACTAAAGAGCACAGACACACAGTATAACTTTTTTTCACAAGTGTTCTGGAAGATTTAGTTTATTGTTTTCATACACTGTATGTAAATCCTTATAGTGCTTGAAACTATTTCCAGTAGTTTGCAATTTTTTCCAGCACAATGCAGAAACTACTCACAGAGGGAGAAGAATTCTGCCCTTGAGAAATGGACTCTAATACTCAATTGCTCCATGTAACATTTATCTGTATTTAATATTTATATCTGCTCATCACTGGAAGATACTAATGGCTAATTCAAAGATAATGAGACCTATTATGCACAACTGATGCCTCCTTACTAAAGACACACTAAGAAGTAATCTTTTCTGAAGAAGACATGAGCTGGCAGAAAGTCTGTCAGTCCTAAAGAAAAAAAAAAAAAGGTGATTTTGCATTCTTCCAGTTGTTTGAGAGAGATTAGTACTTGTGGATGCTCCAGAACTGCAGAGTTCTGTACCAAACCACCACAAATGCTGACAGTGTTGGGTGCTGGTTCATTCAGCCCTAGATGAACCTCTTCAAGACTTCTGTGGTATCTGATGTCCAGGACAAGTGCATAAAGACAATCTATTTAGAAAGTCTAAATCATGAAATCTCTTGCATGTGCCATCAGTCACCCTACCTCCATTCCCAATAGTTTTGAGCTGTCATTAATTTTACTTAGAAATCTTTAATCAGGATGGAGTTAGGGAAATTCCTCACTTGCTGGGATTTTGGGGTCTTTGGTAGCCTCATTCTTAATGGGAGCTCTCAGATTAATATGCATGGGTTATTATGTGCACATGTCTGGAAATCCACCTCACCAAGTCTCATGTGAATCTCTTGGAAGTGTGGAGTTCACAGAAGTATCTTACAGTCCTCACAATGATGCAAATCATATGGCCCTGAGAAACAATTCTTTGCACTCTGGCAGGGACTGACTAAAGTATGGCAACTAATGTCTGTGAACATGCCATTTCTACCACGTCTTCTTCACCCTGGAGTTGAAGGGCAAAGTAACAACTCCTTGCAGATGCCCACCTCAAAATACAGATTGCTGTGATTCTGGGCCCTAATATTTAAATGTCTCCTGTATTGTGAATGTTTACCACTGAAACATGGATGAAACAGAAATTAAAAATAGACTGGCTTGACTACAAAGAGGTAGGGAAGAGAGAGAACAAGGAGGAAAATGTGCACAGAAATAAAAAGGCTATGGAGGACAAGATAAACTATCTTGTTGAAAACATGGAATTGAATTCAACATCTCCTTTTCTGAACATTCATTTATGTTATGACTGATCCATACAGGTCTGATCTATACAGGTCTGAACAGCTTATCTCCATCATGTGCTGAAAGCATTAAGGACTTGGGTTGTACAGTCTGCTTGTCACTCTTCTTTTACTGAATGATTCACTTGACACATCTTGTACTTGTTTATCCAGTAGCATGTGAGAGTTGAGATAAACACAATTCAAAGAATGATGGACACTTTGCAAACAAAAAGGGAAAGTTCTTACCTCAAAGAATTTACAGTCAAGATCAAGAGATAACGTAGACATACATAGATGTCTCATCAGCAGATAACGGATGGGAAGCAGGGAGAAGTGACAAAGCAGGAGAATGAAGTAGCACTGAAATTTCTTTTCCCATCACATCCTGCTTACAGTAACTGCCTCTTAATTACTGTTACTTTGCTATGCTTTTCCACTGCCCTTTTGTTATATATATTTCCTGATATTACTGTCAAATATAGTGTGTAAATAACCATAGAATAGTTCAGATGTAATTTTCTAAGATGCCAGCTGGGACAAAACAAATGACAGATTAGCCACATAACTTACTAATTTATTAGATATACAGCTTTCTATGGTGCACGCAGAACTAGAGTAGAGATTAATGCACACGCATTTTTCCAGATTCTTACAATCCAACAATTTTATTTTTAAAACTAACCTATAAAAATTAAGTTTTACTTCAAAATAGTCACTGCTTGTAAGTGTTAAGTAAACAGTTATGTGAGAAAACTCACCTTTTTATTAGCTTGCGTTCTGTGGGACTTCTTTGAATTTAATGATTCTTGTGAATTGATATAGAAATTTATGTGGTTTTTTTTTTTACCACTTCATATTAATTTATCAATACAGACCATAAAGGAAATGCAAAGTAACAATCTATCTAACTAGAATAATTTTCATTTCATTTGATTGCCTCTACGGTAATCAAACTATTTTTAATGATTTGTATGTTTTCAACTCTACTTTTGATGACTTTCTGTTGTTCATAATGGCTGAGTCAATTAGAATTACCTGAAATGTGCAATGGATATTAAATATATGACATACTGTACATCTCCCCTAGAAAGTTGTGCTGTATTTCTACAAGAATCTTATTTGCTTAAGTGACACAGTATCTGTTTAAAGGAACTACTGCTAACACGTAATTTTTGTGCAGTCATTACAGGCTGAACATGCTCATTTGTGTTCATGGACTTACTTTCCTCTATAACAGACTGGTTTGTAGATGAACAATACAGCCATAACAGATACATTTCAGTAATCAGGGCACTGCTATTCTGATAGTAATTCACTAGGATTGTGCCACTTTTAGTAGGTTAAAAATAAAGGCTTCAGTTAGAATTCAATTTCTTTTAAATCAGCAGAATAATCAACATTTTAACAGAGCAAATTCTTCGAGCTTAAAAGATTTTGTGTAGCAACAAGTGAGTGTAGGGTATCTGCAGGCTCAGTTAGGGGCTTCTGGGAACACTGTCTTGGGAAATGGCCTAATTTCAAGTATTATTTTCAAATACTACCAAGTCTAAAATTATTTTTACAATATTTAAAAATATATTGAAGTACAACTCAACAATTGTAATCTTGCTAAGAGACAATTCACTGAAAAAATGGCTGCCAGTGCAAAACACATGCTAACAGCTACTGTATCATTAATTCAGAGTTTAAGGCCATGAAAGTACACTTAAATACATTTTTGGTCATTTCTCTACTGACAGGTGTATCTTTATAAGTTTTAGATTCTATGGTTCTCTAGAGTTGTTTCATTAATGATCACCTTTAACTTTATCCTAGTGACAGAAAATAATTTGCATTGTAGCAGCCATTTCAGCTTCTTATAAAGTTGTCTTTCTAGTCACCTCCAATACGAATGAAGGATCTGAATTAAGCTGAGGAGCCTAATAAAAATTATATTTGTTAAAGTTGCATTTGACTTTTGACAAGAAGTATGTAGTTAACAGTCTCCTGTTAAATACTTAGAAGTAGAATAATGTATATATTTATGCCTATTCTTCCTTAAAACATCAGAGCATGATTTTCTTAATTTTTTAAGCATCTCTCTCTCTCCCTCATATTTTATACAAAATATGGGAAAGACTGCTATTACTCTCCAAAGTGTGGACTGGTAAAAAACCTGTGAAACAGCAAATAAAATTAATAAAAACCAAGAGAGGGTGGTGAATAAAAAAAGAAAATTCAAAATATTTAGAAAATAAAAGATTTTTCCATATGATTATTTAAATTAGCTCATGGGATTAAGGGACGTACACCAACTCCTACCTTCCCAGTAACAGATTTTTACATACAAGTTAAAGGTAACATTTCTAAAAGTGGATTCAATTAACATAAGTACTTCTATAGTCATGCTTTGGTATTTGCTCCTTTCATATAAAGCATTTTAGTAAGTACGTCATCATAGATTGGACTGAAAAACAGGCCTGAAGATTTTAATGAATCTTCATTTAGCAAATATAACCCATGGAACTACTGAAATGCTTTAAAATTAATATGCACATACCTTAAAGAATTCTTTCTTCTCAACTTGTTCATTGCCATCTGTATCCAACATTTTAAAGGCAATCTGAAATCCAGTCTGGGGTTCTGTAACAAATTGCAAAAGAACTTACGCTAGTCCTTAAATATTTAATGCAAAAGGAATATTGCCTATGGTTCAGTTCTCCATTGTTATGCATGTACATGATATTTCCAGTAAACCATATGTACCTCCTCCAATATAAGCAAACTTTAAAACACCTTTTTACTGTCATTTCAAGGGATAATTAATGCAATGGCAAAGCAAGAAATAACAGCAGTGCCTAAGTACAGCCACCAATGTCCATCTGATTGCAATGACTGTGAAAACATTTTATGTCTTACTGTCCTGGTCTTAGATATTCTCTATAGACGTCTCTGTAATCCCACGTCACTTCTGAAGTCTAGCTCTGCCTTGTCTATTAGAGCTACTTTTCAGGAGAGAAGACTGGAAAGTGCCTTGAGAAACCAATAGTTATTCCCAAACTGTGTGAAAGAGCTATTGTTCTCCCTGCAGGTACTTCTTGCATGCATTACTGTACACCAGTATTTGCAGTCTTCCCTAGCAAACAGACCGATCTTGTAACCGTGGCCAGCTCTCGGCTCCTGCTCCCGCTGTGTTAGCCCCAGGCCTTCTTTTTCTTCCCTTCTCCTTCCTCCCTAAACAATGTACTCAAATGTTACCGAGATGTAATAAACCACTCTTTCTGGCCTTTTTGGACAAAAGCATGTTTTGTATGACTCCCCATCAAGCTGATTTTTTCAGGAATTTTATACAATTTTGCCCTGCATTTCCTTCACCAAGTGGATGTTTCTTTTCAACACAAAAATGTAATGGGTTCTGAATCTTGCAGGCGCTATAAAAACACGGTGTGTTTTGAGCTCCTTCCCACAATTTCCTGATCTTACTTTGCTTACAGGAGGTGGCCTCGCTCATTAGCAAGCCCACACAGGAGCAGCATGCTGCTGAAATGTAGTTACAGTTCACTGCAGTAGCAAGCAGTTATCCCAGCAATTTCTAGAGCAGGTGAATTAACTCCACAACCCAGTCAAGTCAGGCATTAATATGAAAGCCATGGACTTATCGTCTGTAGAATGTATTCATGTTTCCAAGAACAATGTTGGACACACGAGGCTAGTGAAGGAGTATCTCTAAAAAACTCTAATACCATCAGAGTTTTTCCTTTGGAAATATATTCTTCCAGCTCCATCCTGTAAAGTTTTAAGTCTTGCTTTTTTTTTAGAGAATCTTTCTGCAAAGCGAACAAGTTAAAGAAATATCCTGTTCCTTTTAAGTGATAACAAGATGGTTAAAGAAAGTGCTATTTTTACATTTTAGAAATAACTACATCTTCAGCAGCCAGCAAACTTTCTCTGTGGACATCTTCAGTAGCCAGCAAACTTTCTCTGTGGAGCAACCTTGTGATGCAGGGGTATTTAATAAATACCATCGCAATCTGCATAGCAGAGTCTTTCCCCAGCAACTGGGTTGTGATAATCAAAACTGGCTTCCTTTCCATGGAAATGCCACATGCTAAATTTGTAACTAGTACAAAAGCAAGAAGAGCCTATCCTGTAACATATTTAGAGAATAAAAGTAATTGATGTATTTAATAGTAATTCATACCATCTGTGTTGCAATTTTCAGATAAGAGAGCTGTTACTGAAAATATAGGACCTAAAGCTGCTTATACTGTTCAGAGATGACATACTTATCTGATATGATGTAACCCCAAAGGTATGTGTTCGTAAAATAAGCATAGTTCAAAGACTACCTCAGATATATTTGTATTTAATTAGAATCAGGCAAAATTCCAAAATCTGAACAGAAGAGCTTCATCTTGTCTGTGAGTGCAGGTTAGACTTAGGTGCTTCCCCTACAACTATTCCTATGTTGACCAAGCTGTCAACTTGTGTGACTGGCTAATTGAAATGAAGCTTTGAGTAAAGGTGACAACTTCAGTTCCAACACTCCTTCACCAGGTAGGGCTTACCAGAAGCTCCATTAACAAATTGCTGGAAATGAAATTCAATACAGCACTGGAAGAAAAAAGATAGTGAAGATACAAGACACACAGAAAAGGGATGACAGGGCAAAATAAAACCTTTGTTTGCTGCAAAACTGTATTTTCAAGTTCAGTGTTGCTACAGACAGTGCCTTTGTATGACAGGCAGCACGGTCTGGTCAGGAGTGTCCTGGATCCGGGACTCTGGAAATTCAGGTGACTCTTTTCCTGCTTCCCTATTGCTCTGCTGGTGACTCCAAAGAAGTAATTTAGATATTAATGGCTGCTTTAAGAGATCTCACATTAATTCTCACTAGCAAGAGAGTCAGGTTGTGTAACTGGGGGCTGACATGGGATACCTGTTAGGCAAAGATAGAGGCACTAACAGTTGTTGACGCTTGCTTTCAAACTGATCAGCCCTCTGTGTAACCAGAGCAGCAACATTAGCACTGCATTTTTATCCTGCATCAGAAGGTGTCTTTGTTTTTGCAGTTCAATACATTCCTATATAAATTCTGTGAAAAATCATGTCACTTGATTGTCTGGAGAAGTAGAACAACTTGCTCTGATACTGATTCAATTTTCTAATTGTTTCAGCCAATAAATCAGCATGAATTTACTTTCATCTGCCATAGATTTTTAAAGAAATAGAATCTTTGGCATTTATTTCTGCAACTTTAATTAAGGTATTCTCCTGAAGATATAATGTGGCTGTCATTGTTGCCTTTTTTTTAGAGAAAATCTCTCATTTATGTGTTGCAACAAATATTTTAAAATCAGCTTTTTAACAGGGCTAGACTCATATTATTTCTGATTTTAAAAAAACAGTTGAACACATGGTATAACTCATGTTCAAGTCGTGTGTTGCACTAGTCACTACCGGTGAAACAGTTTATTTGTATGTTAAATAGGTTATCTTAATGCATACATACTATTTAATACTGTGTACTAGCTGAAGTTTCCTAAGAGATCACCCTTCATGCCACGTAGTAGGAACTAATGCAGTTCTGCTGAGAAATGATGTAAGTTGAAATAAGTTACCCATACTGTGCGAGAGGTGGGTACCGATGGTCATTATCTGTGAAGGCCGGACAAACTCTCTCCACTCTCTGGAGACCAATGTTATTTTTTTGTACTATACCGTGAGAGGGTGGGATTCTAGAGCAAGGAAAATTTGTCAATTTGTTTAAGCCCCTGCCATGGACCTCACAGCCACAGAAGTGACAAGGCTCAAGCATCTATAATCCATCAGGTAAGAATGACCATTTCCTTCCCTCCTTTCCCCATGCGCTAATACCATGCGATCTAGTATGGCTGGTTTTGTCCCTTGCTTAAAATATGTAAGTCAGTCAAACAAGACTGCATGTGGACTATTTCATGGTCATGCATGTGGACTACTTCACTACTGGTCTATGGGTCTCACTGCATAACGCTCATCGCACACCTCTTATCTCAAATCCTGGTATTTTCCAGCATCACCTACACTTCATCAGAACAGCACAGGGAGGTGGCAAGCATGGCATGGATGAGGAATATGAGTATGGGTGAGGAAACCCGGAATGTCCAAGATCACTTCCATGTGCAATAAAAAATGTCTGCTGTTTTCAAATAAAGCAAGAACCAAACAAAAATTTTTTAAAAAAATGTGTTGGATAGAGAAGGAAGGAGACAAAGAAAGGGGCAGAAATACCTGCTAAATACTTAGAGGAAATAAAAGGAAGAGAGGAAAAAAAAAAAAGATTAAAAAGTCAAACAAAAAGACACTGTGGAATTCTGCTGTTTATGTATATCATCCATTGCATATCTGAAAATATGAATAATAGGCAACAACTTTTCAGACACCACAACAGTTTTTTACACCACTGCATAAGCTAGAATGTTAATGTCACATTGTCCAGAATGACTAAAACTACTATCCAGAAGACAAATTATTTATCTTCCCCCCACTATTCTTCCCCTTACTATGTGGTGCTGTAACCAATGTCTCCCCTCTCTCAAAGTCTCTTGAAAGACTTTTCTGATCCCATGGTGGAAGGATTATCACGATTTTTGAAGTCCTGTTATGGACCAATGATGACACTAGTTGCAATCAATTAAAGTTATATCCATTTATATTAATGCCTTATCACTCCATATACAATAGTTATTTAGATTTTACTATAATGTAGAAATTTAGAAGCTAAAAAATATCAGGAAAAGTTCCTGGAAAGCTGTTAGTAGCTGAGTATTCGCTCACATGTATTTTAAATATATAATACTTACTTGTAAGGATTGTCAGCAAAAATAGGTACTCTGCATAAGATATCAACCCTGAAATGAAAGAGTTAAAAAATGACTTGCAAAAACCCCCCCAAACTTACAGCAAGACTTGAAAGATCAGATCTTATAAATATAAAAAATGTAGTTTAACATAATATTAAATAAGTTATGAAAGTAAGCCATGTTACTATTTAATAAAGTTTTTACTTCTGTTTTTAGTGCTCTGAAGGTAAAATTCCCTATCCAGAGACTCATCAATGTTCATGTCTAATCAAGAAAGTAAGGTTTATTTGGTATTAATAAAAGGCCTACACTAAATCTTTGGATTCTCACTGAAAACATTCAATGTTTATATAAAAGGCAAATAAATTAAATGCGCTTTGTCACATTTAGTACCTGGGAGGAGAACTACTCTAACGTTACCCTGAAGGATCAAAGTCCTCCATCCTTTGGCAGGCTCGTGAAGGCGGAGAATAGCTTCCCTCTAATTCTCAAGGGGAACATGGCAACACGCAAAGCTGCCAAGCTGCTAGATTGTGCTGATAGTTCTGCTGGGCCGCGTGCCAAGAAGAGGCTTCTTTTTTTTCCATTTAAATAGGAACATGTCCTTTCTACAAGGTGAAAGTATTTTCCCCCCCTTTTGAAGGAAAATTCCAGTGTTTTCCTTTGAAATACCACCTTAAGTGAAAAGCCTGAACAAACAAAAAGATGTGATAGTGTCAAAATAGAGCATAGGAGCTAAAGATAGAGAGCACCTAACGAGGGTGGTTAAACAACAGAATCTGAACCATCTGCCCTGCAATAATGTTTGGAAAAAAAAATGTAAAGGGCTTTTTTGTAAATCACTTTTCAAAATAACTGAGCTACTTTCAACTTGTGAACTAAACATTGTATAATGCTGAAGCTGCTTAAAATAATGAAATTCAAACATGCCTATCTATGCAAAGATAAACTGTTTTTTATAATTTATATTTAGTTAATTGATAGATGAAGAATCCACTTAAGCTTCAGTGATAAACAATTAACTTCTGATAAATTACTATGCAGAGCCAACAGCATTTGTATTTGACCTCAGTTACTTAACACTAATTTTTAAGTACCAGAGTTTAGAAATACTAAATCGCTGAACGAGAGTCTGCAAATCTGAGAACAAGTCTTAGCTAAAGACAGGTCTAATGCTGATCTAATGCCAACTCACTCTGGTTCCGTATCTCAGCTTTCCTCTCCACCAAAATAGGGCTATTCACCCTCTTATCCTGCATCTATCATGTATAAATCAGTGTGGAAATAAAAAATACTTTCATCTCAAAGATTTAGTTTTGCTTACAAGTTTTAGGGTTACTGCCATTGCAAAAATGTAAGTTATTAATTGCACTGCTGTAAAACTTGGAATTGTGTTCACAGACAAAGTGTCCAGGATTTCTACAATTTCAAAACCAAATGAACACAGAAAGAACTCTTACCCCATTTTTTAAGCTTACATGCTTAAGTAGAAGACAAGATTAAAAATTGATAGAAGCAAATAGGAGGGGAAAAGAAATCAAGCAAATAGTGTGATGGGCAGTGAAGAAGATTCCTGCTCCCTAATTTTATTTTGTGTGTGACAGCAAAAAAATGTTTAAAGGAAGAATATAAAGGAAGACAAGGACATAACTTTTCAAGTCTACATAGAAAACGCTTCCCAGCCATGGACTGCAATGGTATCAGCATAAAGATCCCTGCCTGAAAATTTAACCAGCAAGTGATGAAGGCGAGCATCGTTGGCTAAAGAGAAGTGGGAGTCTGCCTCTCAGCTGTCTTGAGATGTGCTGCCCAGGGATAGTCTAAGGAAGACCTGAAAGGTGAAGACAAGCAGCTTATGCTACGTAAAATAGAACAATGAGAGCCCAGTGTTGGGATACAAAAGAAGAGATGACACACTCAAAGGAGTCATGTCAGAAAAACATATCTAACAAAGTATTTGAAAGGATATTATTGTAGCAGATTATGCTTGTTAAAGTCAGAGAAAAAAAATAGTTACAATAATTGAGATAAAATGCGAAGTGCCTGGAGAGTTTTAGCTATATGGGTAGACAGAGAACATTGTACCTTATAAAATTTTGCAGAAAGACTCTGCAAAATTTACATAGAGATGGTAGGATGTAAAGCAAAGATCAGTTTAAAGCCAACACCTTGCTTATTGGCTCAACGGAGAAGCATGATGGCTCTATTCACTCAAAATGCAGAGGGCTGGAAAGAAAAGCCTTGTAATAAATGGCAGGGGTGAGATGCAGACTCTGTTTTCATCATCTTATCATAAACTGATTGAAAAATTGCTATATTGAAATAGGTAGAAAGGTAAATATAATAAAAATATGTAAAAAACCTGTCTTGGTGCCTTAAAGCAAACCCACAGCCTGTCTGACATTTTCTGGCAGACTGATTAAACTAAAATAATTTAAGATAAGATTTTTTTAACTTGTGGACTCATTTCCATAAAAATTATACTTCTAATTTTACTGTCCTTTTACTACCTATAGTGAGTGGTGATTTACTTTATCTATAAAGTAAATGAAGTATTATGGTAATTTTACTTTTATTCTACAGCAATCATTACAGTTACTCAAATTGAAAGATGCAATGCAACAAATTTAAAAAAAAAAACAACCTAACAAACAACAAACCCATAGAAAATTATGTTCATGTCTAAGCAAAATTTAAAAGACAAAAGCCTCACATACCGTGGAATGACTCAGCATACTTGCAGCCAAGTATTTGCAATTAGCATTGTCAAAATCTGTCATTTTCTAACACTAAATGAACCTTTCCTATCCCTCCCTGGAAATCTCTACCCTCAAACTTTACAGTAAATGCTGACAGTACAATATTCTTATTGCTGAATAAATCATAAGCATACCCTCAAAATATGTCATGAATTTTAAAAATGCCCACTAGAAGGCAGAATTCCCTAGCGTTACATTTTACAAACTGGACTGATGAGAGTTTTCCTTCTACTTGATATTTAAATAACAATTTGAAGGTAGTTCAAATAATCTCGGTTAAACAGCAGATCAGGTGTAAATTCATTATTGTGGTACTTGTAAAAGCAGTATTTAATACACAAATATTTACATAGTAAAAATTTAGTAATAACACATCTCAAAGCAAAAGCATCAAAGTCACTAAAGAGGCATCACGACCAAAAACTGTAAAAACTCCATGTGTTGTGGAGACATATGGATGACTGCACTGAATGTTCGTGCGTCATCTCAAACTTCAAAGGACAGAATATATGGACCCAGAGTCCTCAGCAAGGGGAGATCAATGCAAAAGATGTCAGGCTGAGCTTATCGCTGAGCCCACTTTTGCCAAGTAGTCAGCTGGGAGAAGTGCAATAAAAGGAGACTGCACTGATTTGCTATGTTTTCACTTTCTGTTGGTGGATTCCCCGTTTCCCAGGAAGAGTGCTTTGGGGATTTGCAGTGTCAACCGCTAGAAAAAGGCTCTAAAAGAGCAGGGATAGAGAAAGAATATCCAAGAATTAAAGACTGGAAATCCTTTAAACCCAATCCCGGGAAAGCACATGATGACTAGTATTTTGAAAAGGTGGAGAATTACTATACTATATCTAGCCTTCCCTAAGATAGGAAAAAATTGTTAAACTTGTTCAGAGATGTTTCAGGGCTGCTGGGGTATGCTGGGTCTTGCAGGAGTGGACTGACAAGCAAGGCACCCAGCCGAAGACCCCTCCATGTCTGCACAAGGATGGAAGAATGAACCGCCCAAAGAAGATGCCATGAGGCTGAAGGGCAGGCGAAACGCTGCAGGCTGAGATTGAGGGCTGCTCTTTTGGCACAAGCTGCCAGCCATACCCCGGGATCTGCTGTGCCTGGAGAGAATGTGGCTTATGCCTGCCAAGGAACTGCAGCAGTGCAAAGGCAGCTTTATTTTCCAGAAACATCCATGGGATAAGAGATTCAGGCTGAACTCTACAATACAGTATGTTTGTCAATAGATGCTGTCAGTCCTCATTAGTTTGGGGACTTCAGTCTTTGTTACTGGTGAAATGGTTAATTACTCATCTATTTGGTTTCCTTGATCCTCTTGTTTGTTTTCTCTCTTCAGTTAATTTATGCTAATGATGTGTTTATTTGGTGTTCTTTAATTTTCTGTTGTTATACAAACAATATCCCAGCTCTCAGAGTTTTCTCTTTATGTAGTCCAATATAAGGTGGAAATGATGGGTGAAAAGAAACCTAAGCACACAGGTGCTGTCAAGAGCCACAGAGGCTGAAATAAGTTCAACTGAACTTGGAATCAGGGATACCACTTTACAAAACTAGATACAAATTTTATTTTTAGTTTTAGTTTCTGTGCATTTAAGTTACAGTGAAACAGCAGCTTATTAACAAGTCTTAAAAGTCCACTTTGTGCTGAAGTCACCCCTTTAGTCCTTTTCTCCAAGTAGCCTTTCTGATTTATTTTATGTCTCCTCCTGCACCTCAGAAGGCTTTCAATTGCCAGCCCTACCTCTTTACTCTCTCTTGCATAACTCAGAGATTTACCATGGAGGCAGCTACCAGCTAGATGGGGATGAAGTCAAATCCATGAAACCTTCTTTAAAAATACATTCAATTAATACCATAGAATAAGATAAAAAGCAAGATGTATTTTTCAGCATCAAAAGTGCTTGTTACCTCTATCACCAAGCTCTCTAAAAAAGGTCGGTCCTGGTTTAGCTTTGGCAACACACAGCAGTGCAGCATCTACCTCCTTTAAAGATACAAACAAGAAAATATAAAGGCAGTTTTCAAAGAGAAGTCTATTTGGTTGGGTAACAGAAAGAATACAAGTTCTTTTGAAGAAGGAAAGGAACATTTTGCTTACCTTTTTTGTCAGTTTCTTGGCTAAGGCTTTACCTATAATAAAAAAAATCATCATCATTCAATAACAAACTGACTTTAAACTTTGATCAGGTTCTGTGGCATTTCTTTAGATTTTTATGGGAAAATGCTAAGTAATATGAAACAGAATATTTTGGAACAGGCAGTTTGTTTCTAATTCCCACAACGACCAAGAAAGGACAACTTTTAAAAATAATATGAGCAGTCTGTTCAAATGTTCTTGCAACCTAGATGAAACCACAGACCACTTTGGTATCTATGACTGACTGACTGGTGTGATTTTGCATACTGTGAGCTACAAATGTAGTACAGACTCCAAAGCAAGATTATACAGTAACAAACAAAGGGGTCTGCATGCACATGTAATAACCCTTCAAGTGCAGACTGAGTACACTGAAGCTAAGAAATACTAGAAAAGAGAAAAAAGAATGAAAATGTTGATGTTCCTATAAAGTAAAATTAACAACTCTGCCTCCTGAAACAGCATCAGATGAAACCTTACAAACTTCTAAGTGCTTATTTGGTTCAAGTCTATACATTCGAATAGGGGAGCCACTGGCAGCAGTACAATAGGTTGCATTCCTGTGTAAATTACCCATTTGAGGAGCTGCGCTGTGTTATCATCAACAGGACCACGGAAATCCTGGGGCCATGGACTGGCAGGAGCTGTGCTCTATCCCTTCTCAGTCTCTCTCCTCAGAATTTCTCCTCCAGGGTTCTTAAAACCCTGTGCCCTTCATTCTTACCACTCTCAGCCCATCGCTCCCTTTCTTCATCACCAGTTCCTCTGGATTACAGCCAGCCATTCCCTCCTATTTATTCACACTCTTTAAGCACAAGCAGAGCTGCTTGCATTTGCTCTGAGGACTGGTGCCCCTGTGTGCAGCAGCCTGCTTTGTTCCATGCTCAGACTCCAAGGCTTGCTCTGCCACTTCGCAGGCATCTTGCATCCAAAGAGTCACCAGCTCGGCACTGCTATTTGGAAATGGACACGATGGAGGCAGCCTGGTGGGCAGCTGTCAACAAACTTCTACCAAGCATTTTCACAGGCCCCTAATTTGGCCAGACAGAGGTGCATTCTCAGAAGAACACTGAATTTCCATAATGCTGGCAAAAGACATGCCCAGCTGCAGGGGGTCTCCACTGGCAGCTTTTGTCTTTGGAGGAGGGAAGCTGCTGGAACATCTCAACCAGCAATAGTTCATTTTTCAGCACAGGCAAAACAGTGCCCTGGCCTCTGCTCCCTGAACTGGCAGTAACAGTTTTGCTGATAAATTCCTCTCTCCATCCCCCTCCCTCAAATCAGCCTAAGGCAGACACCTGGCACATAACATTGCAACCCAAATGTTTAAGTTTGACAAAAGTTATAAGCAACTAAAATTAGGGGTTTAATACTGGAGTGTTGAGTGACCCCAGCAACAGGTGTTGCCTGCACCACCTGTTACTTTGGATGAATACATTTTTGTGCAGTGCATGTACATATATTTACACACATACATAAACCTAGCCAGATAGATACCTTCTAGCTCAAAGGAAGTATGAAATCTTCTACTTTGTCTCATTTGAGATAAAAGAAGACACACTAATAATGCTCTGGGAGAAGAAGCAAAAATCACTACATCCAGCAAGGCTGAGTCCTGAGCAGTGCGACGTAACACCACCGTTTAACACTGTTCACTGACGCAGAGCATTTTAATGAATGGCTATTTAGCAAATTAAGTGATTCAGATCTCGGCTTTGAAATGTCACCACTTCTGTATAGCACATTTCAATGTGGAATTAAACTACAGCAGCTCTTTCGGTTCTGGGAGATCCACATAGTGAGAAACCTTATAGGAGGGAATGAGTCAGGCTGTAGGTCCGTGAAAAAATTAAAGAAAAAAAGGAAAAACCACCCTGCAATGTTTTTCACTTTCAATGATCTTTGTACTGGTTGCCTGAATTGAAGCTAGCCAGAGAGCCTTATCTGGTTAACAGCAGCTCCACTCATTCCATTCTCTAGGTGGCCCCAAGGGCATCACATCTGGGACAGGACCTGCCACCGCAGCAGTGTACCGGGCAGAAGCCTTTTGCCAGCATCCAGCAGTATGATGAAGGGAGATGAGCTGAACTCTGTGAGCTGGAACAGCAAAGACATGAACAATAGATGCAAGGTAAGGAGCAAGCACCAGGAGCTACAGCTGAGACACTAGTTGGCCAAGTCTGTGAGGCTCTACACTTAGTTAAGTCCATGTTTCTCTTCTTCATGTTGTATTCAGCACAGTAACTCTGAAACATTTCAGCTACCCGGTTTTAGGGAACATAATGTCAATGAGAATTACTCTACCTTGATAAAAACTAAGAAAGAGAATGAAAATCTGTTGTAGACATAGATGAGCTGAACTCTGTGAGCTGGAACAGCAAAGACATGAACAATAGATGCAAGGTAAGGAGCAAGCACCAGGAGCTACAGCTGAGACACTAGTTGGCCAAGTCTGTGAGGCTCTACACTTAGTTAAGTCCATGTTTCTCTTCTTCATGTTGTATTCAGCACAGTAACTCTGAAACATTTCAGCTACCCGGTTTTAGGGAACATGTCAATGAGAATTACTCTACCTTGATAAAAACTAAGAAAGAGAATGAAAATCTGTTGTAGACATAGGGACTCTCTTTTCACCAATCAGCAGTCACAACTGCAACTGCCTAGAGCTCACACAAATGGCTGTGGCAGCTGTCAACATCTGCCCTCCTGCATTCAGCTGTGGCCACCCTCCAGAGGATGTTTAAGATGTCCACATGCTGACTGACCTCTTTCAGAGATGAAAAGACCATAACAACAATGATACGGAGGTGCTCGTGCTACCCTTGACTGGGAAATCTTGGCATGGGTGATGGGACTAGGGGAGGAGAGGAAGCCTTTCCTGAGTGGCAGAAGAGGCAGAGAACAGCCACATCACTCCAGGACGTGTCGAGGGACAGAATGAGGTGGGTGAGAGTCGGTCCCTGCCATGACTGACTGCACAACGAAAGAGGAAAAAAGGCAGGAGGGAAAGGGACAGCTTGAGAAATAAGCAATGACATTTCTACTTTTCTATGTAGTAAATACAGCAGAGTAATAAATATGGAGCCTTTTAATAGTGCTCTTTTCAAATAGGCTTCGAAATTAAGATTTAATAACCCAGTCAAATGAAAATGGCATACAGATGTCAGCAAGCATGTGTACCGGTAGGCCAGGAATTTTTTTGAAAAAAAACCCAACAAACTGACATTTGGGACACTACTGTTATTTTTCATATTGCCATTTCTGTAAAGTATTAGAATATGATCTTATAATAATTTAATAATTTAAACTGTAAAATGAGTTTCCTCCAATTATTATTTGAATATTTTCTAAGAATTAAATCCAGTTATATTCTATTGGTACTGTCACCATACAAAATCATCTGTGAAGACTTAAATCTCAGTTTTCACTTAGAAACATTAGCTATTTTTATTGTAGCACTCATAATATTCCTTGAATACTAATTCAGCTCTTGGTACTTATTCTCTCCATTTATTCACTTCCTAACAATGAGATCCCTTTAAACAGCAACAAAGAAAGCTCTGTTAATACCGCACACTACCGTAACAAACGTGCAGCCCTCTGAGGAACTAGGTCTTTTAAGGCCTTGTCTACAATAATTAGGAAAAGAAGGTTAACTCCTCTTTGCAGAAAATGCACTGCAAAGGTATATACAGTTTTCTTAGCCAGCTCAGACACTGAAAAAAAAAAAAAAGCCTCTTCCTTTCTATCAATTAAATCTTGCTGCTGTCATTCCTGACACACAACTACAAATATATCTGGATCTAAGTCTCCCTCTGAGGAATACAGGCAATGGTTATAATTATTAGATCTAATAAGTAAAAGATGCACTCTTCTACAGTTTTATACTTTTATCTTGATAGAGTCTTACTAATGGGCAAATTAATGACATATTAGAAAACTTGTCTGTAGTAGTAACAGTCCTACTTTGGTATCAGAAAAAGAAATTTGGAATTTTTATTGGTTTGAACTTGAATGAATGAGAAGAAAAACAACTTTTTTTTTTTTTCTTCTTCTACAGACCTGCCAAGAATGTGATAGAATTCTGGCTTAAAGGACAGTGAGGATTTTCAAGGGTCTCTACATATTTTATAGATGCTGTCACCTAATTTTCACCATTTATAGTGGATCCATGAAACAACAATGAAGTACAGACACACCTTTCACAGACAAAAAGCCATTTTAGCTTTTTAAGTTGAATGAATACCAAGTCTACTTAGAAGCACGCAAATTCTGTGCTGTTAGCCAAGAAAGTTAGATGACAACTGTAATTAAGAAAACACTGCCAACGTCAGCCTTAATTTGCCCTCGGCAAACCTGGGTATTTTGTCACATACATTTCTAACAACAGAAATGTTTCCATCATCTATCAGTTTTTTTACATTAAGATGTAGAATAGACCCTACATCAATGTTAGGATTAACATTAGGAAAGGGCTGAATTAAACAAGTACTCACTTGCACTCGGTAACACCCATTTACACCTGTACAGCTAAGTAAGGCTTAGGTCTGATAAAAAGATGTTTAGAGCCAAAGAATGAACAAAATCTCTAAGATCAACCATTATAACAACAAAAACCAAATGCCAAAGCAAAAGTAGGGAAGTTATTACTATTTGCAAGAAAACATAATTTTACATTTCTACAAGATTGCTCTATTTTTGCAATATGGAAATGAAAATTAATTTTTGACTCAATCTTTCTTGACAGCCTTAACTTCAAATGAGAACAGTATAAAATAGGTATCTTTTGCTGGGAGGACAACAAACTCCTTTCCCTTTTACCAGCAAGATCACTGAGATGATTTGACCAGGATCTCTTCTTAGCTCCATTTCAGATAGACACTGTGATACACAACTTAAAAAAAAAAAAAAAAAATTCTTCCAGTTGTGTAATATTAGATGGCAATCATTGCTATCTTTGCTGAAGTTTGGCAAGTTCAAAGTCATATTGGAG